ATTTCTTTTTTTTTTTTAAGCTACTCGTAAATTTTGAAATTTTTCCAATTGGAAATTCTTCTAGTATTTTCTTATTTAACATGCGTATCACTATCTCCAGTTATCGAATAATAAATGAAGATCGCAAGAAAGAATCTTTCCCTTGATTTTAAATATCACACGTAAAAAAAAAAAAAAAAAAAAAAAAAAAAAAAGAAATAATTTTAAAAATATCCCCCTCAACAAATCCTTAAGAAATATTCAACCTGCTTCGTTCACCTGACAGTTATTTGACCGATGCCGAAACCTTCTACTCAACTCGCCTCACCGTCCGTCCGCGCTTTGAAATTGCAACGATTCACGAGACGATTTCCAGAGCAAATGTATGTTTCGTCGTTTCAGTTAGCTTGTTTAAACGGCAAGCACCCGCATCTGTTGGAAACCAACAGGTGGACCACGTTCATTACGACTATTCTGCATTTGCCACAAAGCAGAGCAAATAATACTTCGTAGATCTTACGAAACATTGGCGAAACTTGACGTATCGACGATTTATTCGACCGAAGATAACTGCAATCTATGTTCTCGAGTAATTTAAACAGAGTATCAATTAAAACGACAAAGGATTAAATCTAGAGATCAAAACTCGTATAAATAATTGAAGAATCGACTACCCGAACAAACTAATCGATATCTTCGAAGGTTTCTTGCGTTATCACGTGTAAATTAAACGTACCAAGCGATATATTGAAGTAGTAAATAATAATAATTTATGATACGATATTGTACAATGATATTATTAATTTATAATATGCATATCACGTATATTACGCGTGGAAATGAATAATTCTCTAAACTGAATGAACGGCGACGATGCGTTTAATTAATTATAGTAATACAGAGGAAAGTTCACTTTATGCAAAATTAATTATACAAACGACACAATTTGTAACGCGTCCGACACGATGCATTCTGTCGACTGCCTTATATATTTTCTCGCATTAAATTCTTAGTTGAAAGAACACATTAAAAATTTTTCAAAAAGAAATTCAACAACTACTGAAACTTCTTAAAATTTCCTCCAAAAACTAGAAATAACTAAAGCTAATAACTAAGTTGCGGATTTTTATGCATTGTGGGAAATTGGAAGATACGGACATGCAATGTGTAATATCCAAAGTAGAATATTTATTATAATATTTTTCTACAGTAATATCTAATATTTAATGTAATTCTATATTAAATTCTCTAATTACGCTCCAAAAAATGTAAAAATGCACGAAAATCCACTAGTCAACTAAACCCTATTTAGAGATCGATGTGATCTTATACTTGAATTTAAAAAGAACATCCGACTTTTTCTAACCAACTTACGCTTTTCTCAGTACGATGTATTATTTATGATAACTTTTCCTACTGGATTTATTCCATTTTCATCGAGATTTCTCGAGAGACAACAACCTGATAAAACTGACAATATCTAGCTCAAGGATTAATGAATTTATTCTAAATAACTTTCTCCTACGAACGAAATAAAATTTTTCGTCTTATCTCCTTCGTGTAAACGCTGGTATTTATAAAGAAAGCAGAATAGAACAGCAAAGAAGAGGCACGGTGAATAATACATCACTTATGTACGGCGCAGATTTATACAGATATATATATATACAGTGTCGAATGAAAGAGTAAACTAGACGCAATTACGCAGATATAAATTACGTCTTAACAAACTGGCAGGATGAAGTGATTGATACGCAATAAGAACGCCTTTATCGCGAAGGCAATAAGATCTGTAACAGCCGGATATCATGTAGTTAAATTACTAAGTTATTGGATATCTTCGATCGATTATCCCGACGTCCAAAATACATCATGTGAAACGAACCACCTTGAAGATATCGTACAACCTTCCAAGGAGAGTTTATACGAAAAACTGAAATTAAAATACGCTCGACACGACTCGACGATTCAATGTTAATTATCAACTGACGAATTATAAAAGTAATTATATAAATTAACTAACTATAATATATAATAGTACGACACGTGAATGTGATTTTTATCGTTCACTGAATCATGATATTTCCACGAAACTTCAAATTTTCTTTGAGTTATGAAATTCCTTTCAAATAATTTTTACGTATTCCTAAATATGTTGAAATTTTTGACATCAAAAAAAGTTACGTAAAGGTAAAAATAATTCAGATAAATAACAGTAATTTTAACCTCCGTCGATACGTGAAATTCACGGCTGCCTCGTTGAAAAACAACACCAATGATTATTCAATAATCTTGGATTATTTTCTTGGATTCGCGCATTATATAAAACAATATTTCACAACAAATATTTGCAACGAATATATCTTCACGATCAAAAATTCTACTTTCTGAATAATTCAGTATTATTGGAAATTCCACTAAATTTAAGATTTTTTGAATTTCACGTTCGAAAGAAAAAAAAAAAACATTTCATATCGTCAGCACAGAATAGCTTTTCACGCAAAATCTTTCATAAATTTATAAAAATGCGGTTTTTTATTTAATCCCTTTTGCAAAATATAACTGTGCAATCTTAAAATAGTTACGTGTAATATTTAATCTGAATTTCCGTTTTAGTTACGATTCTAAGACTGTACGTACTTTTCTATTATTAATTTTTATCCTGCAACTATTTAACGACAACTGCAAAATATTCAAACTTCAGGCTCAAAAATTATATTCTCGAAAATAAAAAAAATTCTGCATGTCTATATTTCCAGGGATTTTTAAAAATTTTTTGAAATATTCTTCGTAATCAAATTTCCAAGTGAAGCTTTCGAATTAAGAACACACATAACACAGTTAATCTGAACTACTGTCGCAATGAAGTTTGCGCGCGAATTGGTGTGAAATTAAAATGTCCCCTCCATTAACATAATTGAGGCACACTTTTGCAAATGAACGTTAATATTTTTTCGTACGAAAACGTACGGGGAAGTTTCACGAAACGACAACATGAATTTCGTCAAAATTCAACGAAACAATTCACAATGTTTAAATAAAATTTCTCTAGACCATTTAATTAAAACCTCAATGCCGATCAAAAGAAATAGTCGCGCGAGCTCGGATGAAAATTAAATTTCAAAACTAATTTTAAATTGTACACTTCGTTTGTCGCCGTGGAACGAATTAGAGCAATTCAGCATACATTTCAATACATATATAACAGATTTCAATACATATATAAAATATTAATTCGAACATTATTTCTTTTATAATTTAAATGAAGAATTTAAATTATATTCAAATTAATATTTTATATAATTAAAAATACTTTTAATATATAAAATATTAATTTGAATATAATTTAAATTCTTCATTTAAATTATAAAAGAAATAATATTTACGAATGAATAACCTTCATTTATACTCGTGTAAAGATATATGTTATAATATATATTTCTGCGAATCGTGTAATTTCTTGTAAAATGTCTATAGAAAAAAAGGGATCGTAGATCGTAGATACGAATTTTGATTTCTTCGATGGAAGATTTTTACGAGAATCTCGTATGGAGGTTGATTCAATTCCAATTGAATATGTATCAATTTAATTGCGCATTACGTGTACACTATGTGAATGGAGGCTTCTGTTTACTTTCGAATGCCCATCAGCGTATAAAAACACGTAACGAAGAAAAAAAAAGATTCAGTGAAACGTTACATTGTGAAACGGTGGCTAAGGTCGAATTAACTCGCCCGTGAAAACGGACAACCATGACATTCGAACACGATATCCTAGTGCACGACAGCGAGAACAAGTTTGGCGAAACACACTCTAACCTAACGAGCGTGTACACGCACAATCGGCACACGGCTGTTTGTTTGACTTGTTTATTCGTTCGCGCCTAAGCATCTACCACGACTTACAACGTCGCAACAATTCTTCCACGGTAGCAATGTCGCTCATGGACTCGGGCAAAACTTTGAACTTTCCTTTTGTTTCTCTCTCTTTTTCTCGCACTCACTTTCTCTCTCTCTCTCTCTCTCTCTCTCTTTCTTTCTCTCGCTTTCCGTGTTCGATCTTTTTTTATTTACTTTTCGAACCGAACCGTGGATACGAACAAACGAAGAAAAAAAAAAATGGAGAATCGCCGGTATCGAAACGATATCGACCGAGTATCGGTGAAATAAAACCACTGTGAAGATCGAGAGATTACGATGCACGCACGTTCGGTGATCTGTCACATCCGATTGACAGCTAGCATCCTACAATGGGCAGAGCGCGCCACGCAGTCCCAACCTGACACGCATCCCAAATAACCTAACTGGTGTATGTTATAAAAGAAACACGTTGGTCCGACGCGAGGTCGGGGCAGCGCGCGAACACCGGTGCCCCTGGGGCAAGGGTGCGAACAGAAAAACGCGAGCGATCGTGAAAAAAAGGGCGTGTGAATGTCCGTCGAGTGTCTGGCGTCCACCAAGTGACAACGCGACGTTACAACGCGAATATCGGCGCGTAACACGGAAGCTGTGCGAAAGAATTAACAATCAATTATCGATTACCTGGGTATACAGTTCGGTGCAGTGCAATCCACTTCCCAGGAGGCAAACAGCTTCATGGGAACGGGCCGGGTGGCCGGGGCTGTCGTCTTCGTACGCTCCGCCATTTTTTGGCCCGTCGGCCCCCAAAAACACTCACTACACCTTCAGCGGCTCGCGGCTGACTGACTGACTAATCCCGCTCGTGGCGCCATACGAACGACCGTTTCACGAATCGACGAGCGGTTACGGAAAAGTACGAAGACACCTTTCGGCGGATAAACGAAGTAAACGAACGCGCAAGTTACGTGGAAGTGGCGCCTGCTAGGTAATCGCTCGGCCGATAACATTTCTTGGGTTAAAATTCACTTAAAATTGTTTAATATCGATTAATAAATATCACGAGACTAGATCTATTCAAAAACTAAATTTGTAAATTAATTTACACTAAAGTAACAAGATTCTGCATTAAACAGTAGGTTCGTTTAATAAATAACTGAAAATATTTGGAAGGGATTTTTATTACAAAAATGCACATACGATGTATGAATAATCAAATAAATATACCTCGTACATATTTCGTTTCTCATTGAAACGCATTTTCAATTTTTTTTTCTGTGTGATTATTACTTAAACCAAGTGATACGATAACCACCACATTAGTACAGGTTGAATAGCTGCTACAAATAATATGAAGTAGAGTCTCCTTTTATTGCCAGAAGCTGTGTACGGGCTATGGTTTTGTGGAATGACTCTTAATTTCAACGACCGCATTAGGAAAAATGCTAAAGACGCACTGCAGTACAACCACACTAGATAATAGCCAAATTTTCGAAATACTAATGAAATCAACAGGGCTGCATTCATACCGACGTATTTGTAACCACAGTAAGCTAATAAATCTAATGTTGAAAGACTCGTTTCAAGGTTCATCACATAAAGAGTTACAATGTGCACGATTAATTCTATAACTCCCCACGCAAGAGCAGTACTAGCCAAAATACTTAACTGTTCTGGGGTAAAACGTTCCTGAGTTCCTGAAACTAATACAGCTGAAACTACATATGTCAAAAATGCCATTGTTGGAATATACATGTCTGGTGCATTTGTTTCAAAACGTGGTTGAAGTGGAGCATCTTGTTCATACTTCACAGACCAGTCCTGTTAAAATAATTAATCATTTACTTCTATTTCACAATTAGGCTCCATTTACTAAAGTCAAGAACTTACTTTATGCGCGAACGGGAAAAACAACAGAGCTAGCTTCGCAATAACATAGTTGGTGTCAACAGCAAAATAGTATTTCAAAGCTGAAACTGGCACATATCTTTCAAATTGCTGTTTTCCAGATCCGACCAAAGCATTTCCATATTGTACAGCCATGTTTGTAACCATTGGCTGTGTCAATAATTGCGTAGCAAATTGTGGTGATGCATAATCGTCACCAAGATTTTCAGGAGGCTGATAATGTTGCATTGGTGGTGAAGTATATCCATATGGCTGAGGCTTAAATCCATATTCAGGTGCCATACCATTATCCATAGGAATTTGCTAGATAAAGGAAAAACTCAGATTTCTCATATACTATAACAAGTTGTAATAACTATATCTGTTAAACTTTACCTGCTGGTTATACATATAAGGACTTTGAGGCATTGGCATTTGCATTGGCATTGGTGTTGATGCAGATAAACCAGCAGATGGATCAATTAATCTCTTTGGCTTTCCTGTTGGAAATTTTTCATTTAAATTACATTATAGCAGATATTATTATAATAAAAACATAACTATTTCAATATAAAGGTTAAAAGGCTATTGAGTATGGTAGTCTTCAAGGAATCATAACCTCAATGTAATATTTCATAATATTATGTTGTATCTTACCAGGTTCTTTAAGAAAATATAAAAATATATAAGCAAATATTGGCTTCCTTTTTATTAAGGTTAAATCATTACGTCGTTAAATCTTACCTTCGAATAGATATGGATTAAAAAAATTAAACATTTATAAATCAACAAACTTACCTCGTCGTGGGCTTGAATGATTATAATTCATGATTTTTTTAATTGAATTTCTTGAATTGCTTATTCAAAAATACCAGATACTAATGAAAATTCTATAACTTGCGGGCTGAGACCCGATTATTTTCACAAAGAAACATAAAAACAATTCATGCTACACGTCCCTATACTCCGTCATTCGTTGCGAATACTCCCACTCTTGATATATAGTGATTTTATCATTCTGCAGCAGCTGTTTTTAATTTATTCTAATTAAAATAATAATTTACACTATGAATTTTACGACTTAAATAATTGAATTTGCATAAGTATAAAAATAATTCTTTGAATAAAATTTCTCGTAAAAATTGCTTATTCTTGTATGTTTAATCAATTTACCGATTAAACTTAATATTAAAAAAAAAAGAAAATAAAAATTTTCTATTTTACATATTACAAAAAATATCAAAAAATTATAAAAAATTATCAAATATTTTCAAAAAATTAGTTAAATATATAATTCAAAATATACATCTATAAAAACATATAACGTTTTCATAGTTGATTGATAATGTAGTTTTTATCATATTACGTGAATTAATAAATATCTTTGCATATAATATCGTGTGTAACAAAATGCAAGTATAATATCTTATAATATATAACAGGAATATCAATTAAAAAAATTAAATTTAAAATAAAAAATAAACGCTCAGGGGGCACCCGGGTTTGAACCGGGGACCTCTCGATCTGCAGTCGAATGCTCTACCACTGAGCTATACCCCCTGTTACAATGTGTTTTTTAGTAGTTTTATTAATTGCAGTGCTGTATAAATATATCTTATTTACAAATATAGTTATGTACTTCATTATTCTAATAAATATATCATGTAATTATTTCTTTTATTTTATAAAACAAAAACTCATCTTTTTATTATTTTTTTCAGTAGAAAATAGATCATTTCTTAATAACATTTATTACTAAAAATGTTTGTAATTTAAAATAAAAGTAATACATTAGAAAATAACATATAGAAGAAGATGATCATGATAAAATAAAATAGAAAGTAGGTGTTTATGTACGTTCCACGCATGTTTTTAATTAACAATTATACTGAATATTATTTACAATCTAGAATTAATCAGTATCATATCTTCACTGTTAAATTTTGTTATCGTTGGAGAAATTAAAAATATATATATCAATTCTATTAAAAATATAATTTAAACTAAATATAATAATAGACCAACTATGAAATACTAAGATCTAATTCCAATGACAAATATAAATGTTTCTGCCTCTGTTGATACGTTACTGAGACAGTGGTAACTAAGCAACCCTTACATTAACTAGCCCTGGTATCAAAGGGATGTCAGTGCGCGTCCCACCCTCGTGTGGTGCGTTTCAAAGTCTTTAAAACATATAAACCTCGTGGACTAAATCAGTGGCAAATAAGTCTTTCAAGATTATATCTCGCGATGGAAAATAGTCAAAAACTAACAGCGCAATTTTTCAGAGAGTAAGCTTTAAATAAAACAACATTTTATTCACTCTTCTAACACTCTCTGTTCGATTCAAATAATTATCATCAACAATGAAACGCACGTGCAATGCTTGGACACGTTGGTTTTCGTTTTGAATAACACGTCAATTCAATAGTATAGTAAATATAGATAATATATATATTTTCATACACTTCATAATTTCTTTTAAATTTCGTATTAAAACTTTATTAAAAAATGAAGTTAAATAATGTAATTTACGAACAACGAAACGACTATTACACTGGCAGATATGTATTTATTGTATAGGAAGCAGAAGTTTACACTGCTATATATTAATCACATACATTTTTTATAATACATATAAATAATGCTTATATAAAATAGGACATAGGATAAAAATATTAAAAAATTAATATTCATTAATCTTTATCCTTTATGCCACTACATTTTTTTTTAATTTTCCCGCATTTAATACTTATATAACACAATCTGTGTTTATAGTTTCATCAATCTGTGTCAATACTTTTTATCAACAATTTTTTCTTCAAACTAACACTTGTCACACGCTAAAACTGCTTGTCACACGCCAAAAATAATCGCATTTTCTTCAACGAATTATTCTACGCGTCATAAACTTAGATAACATATTCATCAATGAAATACGCTTACGATACGAGGCTTATCTGAAGAGGAGCTACTCGATTCAGTTGAAACACGCTAATACTACTAACTCACATTTATCCTCATTAATTTTCTCAAATAAGCATGCAATGAAAGGAACGAATATCAACGAAACGGAAGATAAGTCTCGGTCCTACTCTTATTCGTATTCCAATAGATAGACCAATTATATTTTTTTTAACATGAAAAAATCTCGTGTGATCTTCACACTTTAACATCTCAATTTCATTTTTTGCTAAAACAAGAGCGAGACGGAAATGTGTGTGTATACGTTTTAGGATCGCAACAGGACGAAAAATTCCTTCTTTTTTTTTCCTTCTTGCATCCTTCAGACCGATTTCATGGTTTCACGGTTGTTCAGACAATCGCGATCGTTTTCACTCTGCTTCCGAGCTACGATCGCGTTTATTGATGATCAACTTGACCATCAATAAACGCGATAAATCAAACGTCCTCATAGCGTTACTTGCGCAGCGCACGTAATCTCACGTGAAACTAGAGATGTTATCATTAAATATTAACGACGCGCCATCACGAAGGAACGAAGGCCTCCGCGAATTATTAAAGGAGCAATAACGATCGACGTGCAGTACGGTGAATCAACGAAATAACGATTTTCAGTCATCGCCGCGTTACGGCAACACGTGCACGTGGGTTCGTTGTACGTGTGTATAGATATCGTTTAATTAAACGTTTGCCATTTTGCTAAACGCTGATTCAGTGCTCCAGCAGAAACATTCTTGGAATTTAGAATGCACTTTTCTTAGTTTTCACTACATTCGTGCAGTTGTAAAGACATCATGCCTCTCGCCCCTTTTATTCCCTTCAGATTTCTTCTTGGTCAATCGCTTTTCTTTTGTGGAAACATTTGATGCCTTTGCAAAGATTCAATAATTTTGTTTAATGATGGATTCTTTGCAACCTCTTATATCAATGAATTAAATTAATGAAACTTCAGAAATTGCAAGTTGTAAATTTCCAATGCTAATAAATTATTTTTTTATAACCGAAAGAAGTTTGATAATGAAGAAAATATAATTTTTTTGAGACAATTTCACGAATTGTATATCTTAAGAGGATTTCTTTTTTAGTTTAAAGTCAATACGTTGCAATTTGTTGACCGATTAGAAATATAAAATATAATATAAAAAGTCTATTCTTGGCAATAATTATTCTATCAAGTTCTTACGATCGACATACTATGACAAATACACGCACCAAGTTTCAGTGCAAAGCTATCGTCGAGCAATCCTGTTAATCCCCTTAAATGGGAAAAAAGTTTTTGCAATATTGAAAAATGCCCATCTTACTGTTTTACAAATAATCTTTAATGTATTTTCTTATATTGCATATATATTCTGTATAATAATACATTATAATTTAATTATAAATTATAAATAAATCGTTTCATAAAGAACGATTAATCGGAGCGGATATATCCACTCTCCGTGTTTGAAGGATTAATTCATAGTTAATAAGAACGAATCCCGTCGGAATGGCGTAGGATTTTAGAAAAGATAGATCGTAACTTGAAAACTACTATCGATTCTTCTATGCTGTTACACACATTATAAACTGACTGGAAGTCTGGTTCCACGATAGCGTGACACGTGACGGGAAACAGCCAAAGAACGTAGACACCGCTGTTTAAGAACGATAGTAACACTGTTCGAGGTGCAGAGAAAATTGCTTCGATGATGCATACGTTACGTTACGAAACGATTTTCTCCATTTTCAGCGATTTCGATTCGACCCAAGCGTGACAGAACTAATCTGTCACAGTGATCCAATTCGGTAGAAACGTGTTTCATTCACAGCAGTGATCGAAGCAAAAACTCGAAACATCCATCTATCATGAACAGTGTTAAAATTTCGTTTTTCAACGATAGAGAAAAAAGATTCTTCCGATCTTCTACAATATCTGCGATTTATAATAATGTTGCTATAGAAAAGCGTTATTAAGAGCATTCGTGCGGCTATAATCTGTGCCATGCTGTGATCACAATCACGATTGTGTCGGTAATTCGATCGCATTTTGCACTTTCCATAGTCCACTCGAATTAGACTCCCCTATTTCACGGTAAACCTCAAGGACACTCGTCAACACGGCCGATAGAAGCAATTTCGTTTGGTACTACTGTGCCAGTGGCGTGCACAGCTGTCCGTCTTTAATTTCTTATCAAACTTCTTTTCCCTTGGAAATCAATCGATTTCATATCGCTCTATTTTCCACCAGAGCGCATTCCCCCTTTGATTACACCACGAATTTTTCGCCTCTCCACTCTTATTCATCCCACATCCTTCGCTTGTTCTTACAGAGTTTCTTAGCTCACGCAAGAAAATAAGCATCACACAGGCCGTTGAATGTTAAATAAAACGATTAAAATTTCAAATTTTAATATCGATTGTACTAATAGTCTTGCGATAAGCGAAAAGCAATTAAAGCGAATCAAATGAACGAGCTACCATATATATGTTATGTACGTGCTTCGTAGTTGCTTCCTCTCTCTCTCCGTATTCTCTTTTCCCCCATTTTTTCGCGACTTAATGCGACGTTGAAATATTATCAAAAGACAGAAGGAGAATCATTTAAACTTTCCTCGTTGATAAAGTTCATCGATCGTTTCCTTAGAAATCCGATGCTTTCACTCTCGCGGGGACAAGAGGAATGATACGAGGAAGAAAGAAACGAAAATCGGAGACACGTCGACCTTGCCGTGAAATCCGGCATAATAGTTCTCGACGAATGATAGGTGTTGTGGCGTTAGGTTTCTATGGCAGCGAGTGACCTGGTCAATCTACCACGTGGTCAGTAACCGAGCTTTAAATTCGGGTCGAGTTTAGTGATAAACCTTTGATGGGATCTGCGATCGTGCCGACTCTTTCTTGTAAGAACGAGGTCTCGGTGTCAATCAATTAATCATTAACTATTCGCTGTTCTTGCATTAGAAAAAAAACGGAACTCCTTCGGAGACTTTCCCGTACGATCGATATCGGTGCGAGATTCACTTTGAAACATTAAAGAAAACTAAAAATTCTCAGCTTTCTTCGCGTCGTTTCGCCGTGGAATTTAGGTGAATTTAGTTGTGCATCGTTGCTGACGTGCCTGAATATCTCATAGCGATTATTATTGGGATTGCTGTGCTGTACGATGTTCATTGTTAGTCACGCAGTGGCTGTGTTTACTACTGGCGCACAGTGGTTAAAGCGCTTTTAGTCAGACAGTAGTAATATTACGGAGCGGTAAAAAATATCAAGTTGAGAGACCAGACAGCCGGTGAAACGCCTTTATTTTACATTCATTCACAAGTTTTTATTCATAGTTTACTGTCGTACGTCGATATACACGGTCTATAATAACCGACTAACGGAATTATTAACGTTGTTGTTGTTCGTAACTTTTCCTTGTTTCGTAACTTTATAACAATTATATTTATCATCATGTATTTACCTATACGGAATGACAGTCATTTTACAATACCATTAAATTTTTAAATTACATTTCTTTTAGTTAAAACATCAACTACGTTCAACCAAATAAATTGATTCTAATAAAGAAATTTCCTCGACATCAAATATATAAATTTTCGAAATATAGAACAAACTTTAAGAGAGTTAAATTTACAAGCCACATAATACGTTTCTCTCGTTTCTTCGTTTCTCAAGTTTCGTGTACGCAAGTCATGTGTTCAACCAGGTACCGAAGGAAATGATAAAGAAAAAGATTGTGTTGTACCTGTTAAAAAATTCATGACTGCACCAACGAACAAAGTTTGCACTGAATCTTATTCGAAGGGGTGACCCAGTTTACGGGTAGAAGAACCGGACATTCTCTTCGGCGCGATGAATTCGATCCGCCGAGAGGGCGAAAGATGTTTCCACGCGAGGTCAGACCAGTTGTGAACCGGTGCCAGAGACGGGCATGGACACTAAGACTCCACCGATCCCGTTGAAGGTCCAGGAGAAGCCGAAACCGAAGCAGCAGGAAAGTGTGGCCGATGTGTCCTTGCCCCCGCTGACACCATACAAGAATCACCGACTGAAACAGAAAACCCCTGGAACTCAGTGGTCGCGTGATGTACCCAGTGCTACACGGTATCAGGATCATCAGAAAAAAAGGCCTTACAGGTACACTTTCCCCTCGATCGATGCATGCATTTATTCAGCCGCTGTTTGGAGTAGATTCTTACGCGTAAACTGAGGTATCATTATAAAATCGTTACAAGAAGAAGAATATTAGCTGAAGTTATAGGCAAAGTTCGTTTTCTTTGAAATTCTCGAAGAAAGTGGACGTTTATTTTTGATATTTCAATATAATTTTGAGAAGAAACGATGTCTCCAGTGAATATAGAAAACTTTTTAAAATATTGGTTTGCCTGTGTCGAATTTCACATTAAAATATTCAAAATTCTCTTATAATATATAAAAGACCTTATTGAACTCCAAATACAGGATCTTTGACGTTAAATTAAAATACCCTCGATGTTGAAGTTTCTTTGAAAAAAGAAAAAAAAAAAAAAATGCAAGAAAGTATTTAATTCTTTCAAAGTATCTTAATTTTTACATTCTCTGAAATTATATAATTGTAAGCGAGACCGAAGATATTTCTTTCAAATTCTTCCACCGGGTTTAAAAAGCAAAAGTTTATGTAACTCTTGCAGAGTGCTTCAAATCGGCGCGACGCCTTTGATGCACGCTTGTCAACAGGGCGACAGAGTAAGAGTTCTAAGATTGTTGAAAGAACAAGAGGAAACAATCGGGTATAGAGATCGCACTCTGAGGAACGCGCTTCACTATTGCATGGACGCTGGAACCGGAGGTGCCGTCGCTGCGGCGGCACCGGAACTAGTAAATGCACCAGATGCAGAAGGACACACGCCACTTCATTTAGCTGTCATCGCAGGTGATACGCAATTAGTGGCTGTTTTACTGGCGAATGGTGCTGACGTGAATGCCAAGGATCTGGAGGGACACAGCGTTCTTCATTGGGCTACCGGTATTTTCATTGTCACTGATCATTCGCGCCATGACGATTGATGATTACTAGACTGTGGATGTTTTTGTATTGAGTAAAATTAAAAATATATTCAGTTCTCTATATTTTTGAACTCTATTATTACATACTTGAAATTTCCTATAAATGCACAAAAATCCACTGTCTAATAATTTCATCAGTGTCACACGAGTGTTTACTATTGTTAGAAGTATATATGTCGTCGACAGACAACACAAAAATGAATAACATTTCGTTTGTGAAGTGAAACATCAAAGTTTCTCTCGAGGCTGGACTCTAATGCAATTCTAGTGTGATGATTAATAATGCGTAACTCTGGCCAAGGACTCTCGAAATAACCTTATTTGCGGTGTACTCATAGTTGTTTGATCGCATGGTACTTTTACATTGTACATACATTTGAATTACGTATTTTACTGAAAAGTTTAAGCGTGATTCTTAGAAATCATTTAGATACGTACATACTCCGTATGAATCGATCAAACTTAATCTTTACTTTATCTTTCCTGTTCTTTTCTAGCCATTTACATTTAATCTATAAAAATATCGTACGTTCCTTAGGAAAGTCCATTTAATTTTACACGACACACGCACGCAATAAATATTTTATCAAAAATCTTCAGAATTCAAAGATCAAATTCTAAATTGTAAAAACAGAAAGATTTGTTCTAAACAATATATTTCTCCACAATTGTGCCACTCCTCTATTAAATTGACGATACGATTAGTTCTTTTCTCAAAATTCGAGCCAAATTATTTGTTCTATACACTTTTAATTCATCGTCCCTATATTTCTTGTAAATCTTTCAATCACGCGCTACGTAAAATTCCTCTGTAAACCCGAACGCTAATCGCGTTAGGCTCCGCAACGTGCATGTAATATACAATTTACAAATAACTACATCTCGCGTGAGTGGCAATTTTACGGTCGGAGGATACGCCAGCGATCCTCTGCGCGAGATTAGCCAAACTGTCGTTCAAGTCTGTGATGGAAAGTGAAGGTAAATTGGCCGGTTACGTAAAGAACCAGTTTTAATTTTCTTGGACGAAAGGTCAAATTGCAAACGGCCACGAGCTCGGGTAACGATTCCTTAGAATCTGTCCGGGAACTGTGAATTACAGGTCGTATCTTTTCTACCGATCTCCGATAAAATAAGGGTGGTATTGGTCAGGTAAGGTTAGTGGGTCAGTCCTGGTGACGTCATTCCGGTTCGCCAAGGAAAACACGCGAGAACCACGCCGAGATCATCCACGAGATTGACCATAGTCGTCCTTGGTGTATTCAAATGACCCGCGATTTATAGCTGTACACCGCGATCGCCCGAGTTTCACGTCCGTTACAGTGGATTTTCTTTCGCATGAAAAAGAAAGTTCGTATCGACGGGTCGTATCTGTGTAATTCACGGAACGTCCTGAAGTACGGATGCAACTCGACGAAGTAATATTTCGACCTACTTACGTGTCGGTGTCGTTGCTTTATCGCTTGTGTAACGTTACTTGCCGTGTTCCGAATACGAACACGATACCATCTCGCGAGTCAATTATCAGAGACACCCAGGACTCCGATCAAAGAAAATCTATCTTCGTAAAGTGTGTTGAGTCCACAGCATGTACGATTTGTTTGGTTTATATATATAGAACGGATGTTACTTCCTTGTTGAAGATTTTTCCATGAAATCTGCCCGACTTCCTTCTTTAAATCGTCGTTCGTAGAAATGTTAGTTCTTCGTAAGGAAACTATGTTGGTGACTATATAATGTAGCAGAGATATCGAGAAACATTTTTCAGATATTTTAAAAATTTAGACTAGTAATAAAATTAGGCCTGAGGATAAATAATCTAGTTGAGCATATATCAGGAATATTGTTTCCTTTTTAATTGGTTTTGAACGAAAATCGTCACACGAAAAATGTAAGAATGGATCAAAAAAATAAGAATGCGCGTTCGTTTACTGTTTAGTGTGTGGAGAAGCAGAATGTGTTCGCTTAGTGTTAGCAGCGGGTGCAAGACCGTCGACGCCTGATCTTCGTGGCGGATCTCCTCTTCACTATGCCGCTCAATGCTGCGGCGCAGCTGCGACTGCCGAGCTTGCTGTACCAAAGAAAGTTGGTTTAAAAGTTCTCCAGACCCTTTTGGAATTCGGTGCCGACGTGAACGCGAAAGACGAGGACGGAAGACAGCCAATTCTATGGGCAGCAAGTGCCGGTAGCGTGGAAGCTGTGTTGGCTTTGGCTAGGTAAAGTTTGATTCGATTCAAATACACAATTGTTGAATGCCAACGGCGAGAAGCAATCTGTGTTTCGAAGTAAGAATGGTACCTGAAACTTGCCAGAAATAGTAGTTTCAACAATATCTTTAACAACAATAATTCAAGAAAGTAGCTGTTTTTAAAAATGTGTTCTTAACAGTATGTTTTCTTAAATTAAAAAAAAAAAAAAATTACTTCTGGCGCGATTTATTTTGTATTTTCTTTCTTTTTTTTTTTTCTAGAGGAAAAAATGAATGATTCTAAAAGCAATAATTAAAATACAGAGCCGGTGGTTCAGCTGCCGCAGGAGCTGCCGACAAGGATGGTTTGACGGCTCTCCATTGCGCCGCTTCCAGAGGTCACGCTAGATGCGTCGAGACTTTGGTGAATCTCTGTGGAGCTCACCCTGACCACGTGGACGACAATGGATGTTCGGCTCTTCACTACGCTGCCACTCTTGGCCACGCCGATGCCACAGCTTTGATTCTAAAGTTAGGAGCCGATCCGAATCGTCAGGATCGAAAGGGTAGAACGTAAGTACTATAGAAAGCTGGAACGAATATCCGTGGAAACGCAATTCAATTCTGTTAGTTAGAACCTTGAAAAATGTAAATATAATTCATTCACATTCAATAAAGTAACTAATACAAATAATTGAGTTATGATTCGATACGGTTTTCAAAGGATGTTCGTTCTATCTTTCTATGGTAAAAGTTTCGTAAAAAGAAAAAAAAAAAACAGGTTTTGTTGATGCATTTTAACATTTTCGTGCATGACAGGAGTCATGATAGAAGTTGAGATTTTTATTTTATTTTACTTCATTTTTTTCTCTTTTCATTCGCAATTCATCGTCAGTAAATTCTCATTGAATGTAATTAAAATTTTTTATGAATACTTGTGATTAACTCTAGATTTAAATAAAATAATAACAAAATACAATTTTATTTACATTCTGTCTACATTCTATGAATAACTTTAACTTTTGTCCGATTTTACGGCCTTATTGGCTATATCTCTTCTACTAACTATACTGACTATACTGACTATACTGTATCCATGTCAAAATTGATTTTATCGTGTTGGCAATAGAATTAGAATTCATAGGTCACAGAGTTCATTGACACTATTATCTTGCATACGTATACACAATACCAGATAGTCTGTACAGATACCATAGGCAGACTACCATTATCAATAATATACGTGTCATTTGAATGCCGACGTTGCCCGTAGATACTGAAAAGAATTTATTAATTCACAATACGATTAAATTATTAAAACACGGTATAAAATTTTTGACAACGATACTAGATCTTCTTAAATACTTGGACTATTATATATATTCGATAAATGAAATTAAAACATTTCGATGAATCGTAATTATGATAAATTAAAATTTCGAAAATTCAATCAAACATTCTATTATTTAATAATTTTAGAAAATAATTTAAATTTTCGTCTAAAGAGACGAAATTAAACGTGAAACATTTTAGACCAGCACTCTGTGCGGCAGCAAAAGGCCAACTAGAGACCCTGAAGATCCTTGCTCAGCACGGTGGTTCCCTTTACGCGAGGACTATACGAGGAACCGGTGTCGCCCACGAGGCCGTCGCTTCCGGCAGAATCGAGTTGATCAAATGGTTGGCGAAGAAACGGCCAAGCACTTTGGACGTAGCCACCCACGATGGCAAGACACCTCTGCACGTGGCCGCCCTTCATGGACATCTGGATGTGTGCAAAGCCCTTCTGGACAATGGCGCGAGAATCAATGCCGTCCTTCGAACTAGCAAAGGAAATCTGATGACAGCTCTGGACGCGGCGCTTTACAGAGGGCACCGAGATTGCGCGAAATTGATTCAGATGCACGGTGGTACCACGGCGCAGAAACTGCGGATGCAGAAAACTGTACCGAACAAAGGTCAGGTTAGGTACACATACGTTGATTTACAAAATTTTATTACTTCGAGTTTCCCTTCGAAATGATTTGACCAGGGACTTGAATGGACATTTTACAGATCTTTCATTTTTATCGAAACGATTTCAGTGTTCGCGACGAAGCTGCGAATGAGGCACGTCGACAGCAGTACCGATACGGAGAGCAGCCCTCGCAGACGTGATCGTGGCTGTCAGCTTCCGGAATTGTACTACGAGGAACAGTGGATTAAGAAGAGAACGCGACGAAGGGGTAATCTGAGGGAATTAGCACGTCAGGACAGCCGGAGCTTCAGCGAGGAGGAAGTTAGATTGTCAAAATCGTCTTCGAAGAAAGATCATCGAAGAAGAGCTCGCAGTGAATCGGCACGGTACGACCAAATTACATTCTTCATCTACTTTGTGAACTCGAGATTTAAATCGTTGAAATTTTTACGTTTAAAGACATGAAACTATGCAAACGTAGAAATTTGAAACTTTTAAATCGTTCGAGTGCAATTGTTAAACCAGTAACTAAAAAAAAAAAAAAAAAAAAATACTGCAGGTACGAAGAGGAGGATACCGATCGAAAATTGAGAAGGAGACGAAGTAAAAAACGATCGTCCAAGTCCAGACGCGATTCGAGCGAATCGTCCATAGAGTCGGACAGTTACGAACGCGTCGAGAATACATCGAGACAGAAGTTCGACTCGCGAAAGGACGAGAGGAAAATGGACAAAAGCAACGGAACGGAGAGCCGAGAGAATTTGAAAAGGGGCGACGAGGACGACGACGAAAGCGTGAGCGAGGATAGCCTGGAAGTGGTGGTGGTACGAAAATCTTTGGAGAGAAAATGCGAAAAGGTGGTGTCTGGACGAAGATCAAAGACGCCCAGGGAAAGTTCGAAGGAGACGAAATTCACAAAGACGCACAGGAGCACTAGAAGAAAATCGCGGTCCAACAAGCTAAAAGCGTCGGACAATGGGGGTAGCGAGGGTATAACCGATCGAGCACATTCGTTCGACAGGGAGCAAGGAGCGAAAGAATCCGCGCCCTGTGCCGAACGAACTCCTAGAACGTCGATAGACGAAGAGAAGGAAAATGGGGAGAGTATCGTTGAAAGTCGATATCGTAGAGACGTGACCGACAGCACCAGCCAAGAAACGGTGGAGCGTGTCGTTGTGACAGCGATGGTTCATAAAGATCAAGGACCAGACACGCCGAAATCAGTAGTTGAAGCATCGAAAGAAGTCACCTTCGACGATAGATTAAGGACGGAAGTAATCGAGGTGCAAGAGAAGGAAGTCTCCAGGGGAGTTAGTTCGGGCAAGATGGACGACATTTTGGAACAAAGCGGCGTATCACGCAACGATCTTGTGCAGAAAGCTACAAGTTTAAAGAAAGACGTGGAGGAAATGAGACAGCAGGCTGCACAGGAGAGAGTTCAACGGGAGGAAGATTCGAGGCAGAGCCAAGAGGGAAAAGACTCCAAGCAAGATCAAGATGTAAGATTAGACGAGGATAGAGATGATACGAACAAAGTAGATGATACGAGAAAAGATCAGGATCTGGCCGTTATCAGTGATGGGACAGAGAAGAAAGATGAGAGTGAAAAAGGTGAGACTTTAAACGAAATATTAACTACAATTGCAGTTAGAAAAACTGAGTCAAATTTTTGAACGTGAGGCATTGAAACGATTATTTCTATGAAAATTATATTGAATGTTAATTTTTTTGTTAAAGAAAGATCCCTGTCAATTTTCTATTGAAAGAAAAATTTCTGTCAATTTTCTGTAGAATTCTCTTTCCAGGCAGGTTAGACGTACGCGAGACGACCGAGTCGGAAAGTCCCACGTTGGATTCGCGGAGCGAGAAGCAACGACGCCGGAGTCGACAGGGAGACGAGCTCGTTTCCAAATCAGACGGTACGTCGTCCGAAGCGAAACCTGACGAGGAAACTCACAAAGAGAAAACGGACGTATCTGAGTCCACTTTGACGAAAGAGTCGGAAAAGACGAGCAAATCCGAAAGTCCAGAGAGCGAGAAACATTTACAAAAAGGAGATGCCACTCCGAGAACAGCGGTGGAAGACGTTTCACCGTCGGAAGGGGAAGAAAGAAAATCGACATCGGAGGAAATCAAAAGCAAATCGAAAACAAAATCTGGAACTGTAAGGAGGAAGCCGTCGTTGGACGAAAGAAGATCAAAATCCTCGTCCTCGAAGTCGGACGAAAGCCCGAAAAAGAGCGGCGGCGCTCAAAAGAGAAAAGAATTCAGCAAGAAACGCGAATCTTCCGCGAAGAAGATCTCTATGAAATCCTCGGCGGAAAAAGGGAGCAAATTAGGTACAGAGAAGACGTCAGAAGTGGAAAGAAAAGCTGAAGGAATTTCGGTCGACAGCGCACAAACGAGAGAGACGTCGACCACGTTAACGAAAAGCTCGAGCAAGGAATCGCCGGATGAAAAGGAGCAAAAAGCAGATACCGTTCGTAGGAAGTCGGTCGACTTTTCATCTTCGAAAGACTCTGCGTTAGTGGAAGACGATATCGAAGACAAATCGTTGAGCGGTGATACACCGACCGCTACGAAAAGAAAGATGGACGACGAGGAAAAAACTGACGAAGACTCGTTTCCGGCAAAGTCGAACCTAGACGATGAAAAGGAGGAAGACGAGGCGAAAAAAGTGAAGAAACGGCCCGTGGAGGATGCACTGGCGACAGGTGAGTATTGAAATCGTTGCACGGGTTGCATTTCACGTTGTTTCACGTGCTTTTAGAAGAGACGTTTCGATATATCGACGAAAGCTCCTCGAGTTCCCCGAAATCGGCGCAAACCAGACGCTCGAGACCGTCAACGGGGAAGATTAGAAAAACTGGACGACCATCGGCGAGGAAATGTTTGTTCGAAAGTTCAGAAGATCGTTCTCCAGACAGGAGCGCGATAGTGGCGGTGATCGAGAGTCCAGAGTGGGACGAGGAAGACGAGGAGATCGATAAGGAGATCAGAGACGCTATCGGGGAAGATGCGGAACACGAGACGGAACCTGAGGATGATAATGAAATGGGTGTCGTCAGAATGCTGCCAAGCACGAGCGAGGAGGAGATGTCTCGAGCTGGTCATGATGTTTGCAGGACTTCGGCGGCCGACTCGTTACCACAGGTAAATTCATTCTGAAAACTTGTTGTTACAAAAGTAGAATTTCAAGATATTTTAAACTTAAAGTAATTTTATACATCGCTCGGTTTCCTTTCGCGCGGTATAATTGGCAAAATATTTATCCTTGCAATTTTCAAAAGTTTGCTTCGAATTATCTGTTCTCTCTCCTCGCATAGGTGCAATCCAGTACTCGAACTCGTCTGACGCGAGTTCAGAGTCCTCAGGAAAGTAGAACCAGTCGATTGCAAGGGAAACAACGTCGCGATAGCGGCGGCAGGGACAGTGGCATAGAACCTAGCCCTAGGGTATCGAGGATACCGAGAAGAAGAATGATGAAGTGTTGTCCAAACACGGATAAACAACAGTCTCTTAACATGGATACTATAACAAGAGACGTGCAAATCAGTTTACGAAGATATCACCTGGAAAGGAAGATATTTTTTCAGCTGATGGAATTGAAAAGATTACAGATACGTCATGGCAGAGCGAATGAACAAGTTTTAGTTAAAAGACTGGTAATAACTTTATATATATATATATTTCTTTTGAGAGTAATACATAAAATATACATACATATACATATTTATTTTAGGTGGATGCTTTCCACAAGGCGGGAATGTCCGGACCCACACTTGGCGTGGCAAGATACGATCAGCCTCTAACGTTCAGGTTATTGTTTTCTAAATGTCAAGAACAGAATAATGCACTGCTTAAAATAATGAAAAGATTGTTTTCTTTTTTCTTAAATCTTTATTACGGCATCTCACTTGAATAAAATATCTATAATGTGGTCTATAGTGTTTTAAGTAGCGTGTACCTTAATAACTTTCTGAATGAAGAAATAACGAATATTTCTTCCTAGACACTTCGAGGCTTTCTTGTACGATCAACTGAGGAAACTTCAAAAAAGACCAGCGACTCCAGATTTTTGTATGGAAGCGAAACAATGCATCCAGAAAACCCATCGCTGTCACCACGCCACAAGTGCATACACTTCCTTCCCTGTGTACACATATCGTATGTTACATTACCGTGCATTGTCATAGAGTTTCAGGATTCCATTTCAGGCATTTAGACGTGAAACATTCAAATATCAACGATCAGTTTCTTGAAGTTGTATTACATCTTAAACTTTCTTCATATTTGTCACAATTCAATTAATTTTTACGAAGGAGAAATTCTTTCTTAAGAAATATCAAATATACTTTCTTAAAGAATAAAGATGTAACAGTCGTGAAGATTTCAGACATTTATTATCGTGATTAATAATCCTGAAATGGTGTGCTGAATGCGAGAATTCAATCCAAACGACTTTCAAAGGGAATCAGTTTCCCTATTGTGATTGTAGATTATAATTGCAGTAGGTGGAGGCGGCCAAGAACAAGCGGATCTTCTTCCGAAGATAGAGAGCCGTGGAAAGGGACAAATGACGGTAAAAAATTATGTACTTAAACTGAAAATAATTCGTCGAGAGATGCGTGAGTGTCGTGTCACGAATCTTGACACGAGTCGTACTTAATTGGACTTTAAAATTCTATTCTATAATTCTATCTACGATTACGACTCGAGTGTCCAATCGAATCAATTCATATTAAATGAAATTTCGACGTACCCGTCTGAAGAAAAATAGTATAAGTGACGTATCTGTTAAATTACAAAACTGCATAAAAAAATTTTGTCGCAGGTGGAAGTAACGCACGGAGAAGAAAAGCAGATAATAGCTCTTCCAGCTGAAAGATTGGATCGTTCGAAAAAATATTACGTAACGTTTACTGTACGAGGAGAAGCGCAACAAGAAACTGAGAAGCCGAAATCGTCGATCGGTATCCAAAGGAATGCCAAAAGCGTTTAGAAGCGTCTTCAATTATTAACTATATACATATCGAACCACTCCATCTTGGCGATTTTGGCTACGTTTTTTCTATTCGAAGCAATATCGAAAACGTTTCCTACACTTTTTCTACATAATCATCTATTCTACCAATCTTCGTACACGCAACTGTTTCACATTGGATTTTCTACGATTGTATAAATTGTAGTCTCACGACGAAACATTGACTCTCAATTTTCGTGGTAACGATTGTATTTGAAAAAAATCGGAAAACAAAACTGCCAGAGAAAAAAACCAAGGTTCATGTATGTATATACCCCAGAAAATCGAGCAGAAAGTACATATTCTGTACTCCTTCCATTGTAAAAACGTAACGTAGACATGTAAAATTGTATAATGTATTGCATTGGAAATGTTTTATGCATGAACTCTCAATTTTACGATACACGAATTACATTATAATGATTCAACTGTATTTGAGGCAAGAGAAGCGAATTTTGTAAAATAATCTAAGTTTGTTTCAATCCAACTTTGTCAAAAAGGTTCTCTCTGTCTCATTTGAACATTACATGAAATTTTATTCGTAAATGCTGGTCGAGGAAACGCGAATTTATTCTACGTATACAGTAAGAAATATTTCGTTCTTGCAAATGCAGGGACCACGTCGCGACTAACGCATACACGTTCTGTATATTTGTGTAAAGGGAGGCTCTAACATGTAATTCTGTGTAAAATAAAAAAAAAAAAAAAATAAAAAAAGGGTCACGAATCGTGCAACCCAGTTTATGTCGAACTCGGTTTTACATGTCCAAAATCGATAAGTATATTATAAATTTTCATCGTAACAACGTTGATAGTAAACCACTTTTTTAATGACACACGTAGACGCACGTAAAAGGAGTTGAAGAAAAAATATACTCCTTATTACTGAATTAAAAGTAGAAATAAAGAGTATTCATTTCTACTTTTATGGAAGCATTTACTTCCTTAGATTATTACACGAAAGTACAGACGTAAGACGCATTTTTGGTATTTCTTCATTCTAGAAACTCTAAATGTTTCTCTGTTCTTTCCTTGATACAAACAATCCTTGTGATAAAAACAATCCTCAATCTGTCTTTTTACTTGGCTCAATCATTACAAATGATAAAACTTTTGATTTCGAATTTCTATACACTTTTTCTATACACTTCAAATTCCTCGTCGGCGGTATATTATTTCAAAATTACTAAAAGAAAAAAAAAACACAATCAATTCAAAACAATTTCAATAAAAGCAACTAGCCATAACCATTGCACACGAGAAGTTACCATCAACTCGCAACTCCAATACAGTCGCATGTATTACTAAATGTCGCAGAATAAGTAATGCGCGTAATTACAAATCGAAATTTGTCCTCTTTTAGATCCTTTGATTTCCATGCAAACAGGAACACCCGTCACGTAATAGTGTCGTCATTAGAGTGCTGTATGTATAATAAACGAATTGGCAAGCGTAGTTATTCTCGAGTGAACTGGCAACTCGTACGGATTATCGATCAGACTCAGTCAGCATGAGTGACGTAGTTAAACAAATGGTCGAATGGTTAATCGGTTTGATTCACTGGTGAAACGTACTGCTGCCAGTAATACGGCTGGCACACGATCATCCTGGCAATAATGTCGACACCTCAGACGCGATCAACAAGAGTCAGACCGAGGTTCCCGACGATGCATCTTGAATATTCCATCGAACAGACGAAATACCTGTGAGAAACGTTCGCATGGACAAATGGCTTCAAGATAGGAAGCTTTGGCTTTTCGGTAGCACACTACCTCTGCTACCAAGGAGGTAAACAGTTGTTATATTTTTTGTTATATATATATATATATATATTATTTTTTTTAGATACTTTAATGTTTTAACCTTTGATATTTTCGACCTCGTCATTGTGATATTTTCGAAAATATTATCATTAATTGAAAAATGTTCTAATATCGAAAGAATTTTTGCTTTCTTTGCTTCTCTTTTTCTTGGGAGATTAGAAATTTGTTGCTTCGTGATTAGATAGAAAATTTACGACTATTAATTAAATAAAATTACTTTTTCAATTTTCGTCGATCTTAGAAAGTTGAATGAAACAATATTTGTGAAATATTGAATTGCTTCGCAATATTGTAACCTGACAATATCAGTGAATATACTCTTATTAACTATACTCATTTTTAATGGCTAGTATTTTTTAATTTATTTAATTGTTAATTAATCTTAGTTTCTGTTTATTCTGTTCATATTTAATTATAATTACAATTGCACTGTATAGAATTACTTTTCTGTTTTTTGAAATAGAAAATGATAGAAAAATATAAGAAAAAAAACGCCGTGGCCGGAATTTGAAGACTTATTTCTTTCCAGAATACGTAACTTTGACATTGAATCGAATCGATCGATATTTGTTACATAGTTTAAACACGCAATGTTGTATTATATATTATACATTACGAATGCCATTAAATGTGGTTAATGTACAACAAACTTTTAACATTAGTCTCAAAGTAGAATAATTTTCTTGGAGGAAGACAATAATTTGCACTAAATGTTCTAGTATATAACTCCAATAAACTATCTGTGAAAATGTCAGCCGGTGACGTTTGATTGTTTTAAAGATATTGTCAAATATCTACCACCATTATTGTCAAATATTACTAGCTAAACATTGATATAACAGTAATAATAAATAGCACTAGTGCAAAACATGACATAAAAATTGATTCGAGGAAATTTTTAAGAAGAATATTACCACATTTTAAAATTCCATTTCCACGTAATATTGTGTAGCTGGCTTTCAAAAAATAAAATAAAATTTCTGGAAAGTAATTTTTGGTACGATCTTATATATATATAATTATATATACATAAATATTTCTATGATAATAATAGTGAAATCTTGAAAATTTAAGTGACTCTTTTTATAGTTACTCCCCTACTATTGTAGTACATGAATATAGTTACTTTTATATAATGTAAGTGTGTTTAGATAATGTAATTGAAAAATAAATATTTCATGTATTATGTTTTACATATCATGCAATTGGCATTTTATTACATAATCTAATCTCTAAAATTTAAATCGTCTATTTTATTCAAATATTATTTAGAATCATTGCTTTATAAATAATAAAGTATTAAGAAACGTGGTCGTCGCCGTCACGTTATTAAATTATGAGTTCTCTATCTATTTAATGAATTTCTCCTTCATATATATGAGTAATCGATAAACACCATCACCGCATAAATCGTCTTTTCGTGTCTTCAACGAAATTGACAAAGTTCGCTAAACTCGAAGGAAGGTTGCGTAACATCGTCCACCCCCATTTTCATGCTAAAAACAACCTAAACCTGGTTCACGGTCATCATTTAAACATACACAATATGGCAGCTTCATATTGATTGTCAATAATCAAGAGTTCAACAACAATGTAAAGTAGTAAAATAGCCTTTCAGCGAGTTTAGTAGCGCTCGGTATGTTCGACGACAAGGGTGTTTCATCATCGAAATCCTATGAACACTATTCTGGGATTTTTGTACGTATAACAGCTTGAAATTTATTCGTTGAATATACAATGCTAACTTGCTGATTTGTTTGAGAAACTTTGCACAATATTCTAAATGAGGGAACCATGTGAATCAAAGAATTTTCATTCCTGCAATTTCGTAAAAGTATTGTCTAATATTTCACGAACCTATAGATTATAAGTTTAATTTATAATTTACAAAAATTATAAATCATATATTTAAAAATTTCATTCTTACAACAATATATGTAAATCAACAATATATGTTTTTGTCATTAATATTTTTTTATAGAAATATTATATAATACTTTATTCGAATAATACCAGTCAGAGATTTTTTATTTTTGCAATTTTACGCACTAGAATATTTCATGTCAATTTCGATGGTAACAAGTTTATTATTATAGACATTCAATTATTATCACGTTCGAAAAGTTGAATTATCAATCACCTCGAACAACATTTGCATCGTAAATTACCAATGAAAATAAAATACGTGTAATTTTCTGCGAGTCTCATCGATTTCTTTTTATCTACGCTATAATTGTAGGATTCGCGACCGACATTTGAAACAAGTAAAACTTCGCTGTGTGTACGATTTATAATAATATATAGTCTTCGAGCAAATAAAATTCATAATGAATGATGAATTTAACGCGACGCGGAAAAAGGTCAAAACAATCACGCGCTTCCTTCTGCAACTTAATTTCAAAGTATTCTAAGCGTTTTAAATCAATTCTATTACTTTTTACCCGACAGTAACACGCGACTGATTTAATGAGAACACTGACGGTATTCGCCTTATTATTCTTCAAATAGACCATACTTGACGACGTCATTCATATCGACGTAATTTTTCTAAATAGAAAAGGTTTCTTTTAAAGATTTTCTTACCGTTTCTCTATGAGTATTCGACACTTAAAATCTCGCGCTAAAGGTAATAACGATTTGTCCTCTTTAACCTAGAATCTTTTCAATATTAAATTAATTACAGTTGATAAAATTAATATATAATAATTTGTCCTGGCTTATTAACTGAAGTTAATATATTTTAGATTCTCATGACTCGTGAAATTAGCCAATTGAGCACAATGTAATTCCAGGTTGAAGCATTTTTTTTAATTAACATCGTTAACCTTTCTCGATGGCAGCAATGCATTTTCTGCCGATTTAAAGTTAATTCCGTGAATGGTTAACGGTAACACCGCTAAATTAACGAATACCCGGAACCACTGACTTTGGTGACACTAAAAAGACACGAATATGCTGATGAACTGCTTCCACCTGTCTCGATATGGTCAACGATTTAAAATTCGCAAATTATCGGCAGCATGTGCCGTTTTGGTAAGGCGGTTGATTACTCGTGAAACTCACGTATCCTACCCCATAAACTTTCAACGTCTATCGAATACAAAAATATCAAATCAAGAGTGAAACGTTTTCACTGAAAATTTATACGACTAATATACAAGTATTCGTACCTCTGTGATTATAGAATTCAACGATTTGTCGTAATTTTCACTTAGGTATAATATAGTGAAGTGTTATTCACTGAACAATATATCAATCGAATGTTTAATTACAATATTAGATATTCTTATTGGCAAACATTATTTGCAAAGTGTATATTGTTAAGAAATATTTAAAAATATTGTTATTAAATATTAATAATTATGAAGGTAGGATTACTTCTGTGCAAAATAAACAGTATAAATATGGCTCATTGTGTATGGAAAAGTACATCAAGATAACCAAGAGAAAAACTAGCAACCTAAATTTTGCACAAAGACTCGTGAAAAATTACTCGCGAACGTGAAAAATCTAATCGTGGTTTATGAAAGGAAGAGGAAGAATTTGCTCGAATATTCACTGTTCCGAAATAACGCCGAGAGACATTTTGACATGGGTACTGATCACATCAAACTTTCACACAAGCTGGCCGCGATATTACACGACATAAGAGCGCCTGCGCCTGCAGGTTCCGATTCAAATAAAGAGAAACAGGGGAGCTTGACCCTTGGTCATTGGCGAGAATACAGACAGTCTGGTCCGCAGCCTTTACAGTGATAGCATGCTCTTTACGCAGCAGTTCACCTCTTTGCCATGCCTTGCCAAGTATAAAAAGTGGGTACGAGCCCAGATATCGCTAGAAACTTTCGTTTTTTATACTCGCTGTTCCTAAGGAAAATCTCTAATATCTAATTGACAATCGTACTAATTGCATGCAATTTAGTCCCTCGCTTATTTCAATTGCATTTGTATAAGAACCTACGTTTTTTTCTCATATGAGAGTTCAGTGGAAAAGTGCAGAAATTTCTCAGAGAACAAAAAAAAGCATGTTTAGCACAAGCAAATCATTTACCTAGAAGCTTGTTATGAATTTTGAAGCTTTATGTAGTTATGAGTACTCATAGTGAAGCACATTAATGTTTGAAATTAAAAATTCCAGGTTAAAAGATTTTCCACAGATTGGAAATTTTCTACCACTTTCTCTTTGAACTTCTCATTTGTTATTATTCCAACAGTGTCAAAATAAAGAAGCAACTTTTGCTTTTTCTCTCACCTTGTTATTTCAGACATTAACAAGATTATCATCGAACTTAAGAATCATTTTTATTCATTCTCTAATCATCAGTGTACACTTTCTAAAATCGAGAGCTAGTAACTGCGTGCTATGCTGTTGATGGAATAAATGGTGCAATAAATGGAGGAATACGTTTCATGAATCGCGACTGTCATTGCAACCTCAATGAGAACACGCGTGCATTCGCGTGTCACAGAAGATAATATCCGTATCATACTCGCAACTGTGTCATATACATCGTAAAAAATATCCATGTCGCGACACTTTTCTCCATAATGATGCCATATGATCCAAGTACAAATTTCAAATTTCGCCCGATTAAATAATTAAATCACAATATCGCGAAGCAATGAAAAATTTGAAGAGAAAAATTACCTTGGAACATACATACGTGTGCGATCAACATTGTATTACTACCTATCGTTACCTATCGATGTCGACGTTATTACCTTTATTAGTATTTATGTACCGTATGGGATTGTATAGGTACACGATCGTATCTCGTGACCAATTGTACAAAGTGGTGTATTATTTATAAAAGAAATTACCTTTTTTGTAGGTCACGCGCGCCGAGCAAGGCGATGGAACGATACGAACGACTGGCGCGTCTTGGGGAGGGTAGCTACGGTGTAGTCTTCCAGTGTAGAGATCGGCAAACTGGAAAATTGGTAGCGGTGAAAAAGTTCCAGCAGACGGAAGATGATCCTCTTATACGGAAAATCGCGCTACGTGAGATAAGGCTCCTTAAGGTCAGTCGTTGAAAAATAGAAATAATGCGTCAGAAAATGTCCTAAATTACCTACGACGGTATTAATTATATTCTCAACAAATATTTTTAAAACGAAAATGAATTCTTAGATATTCCTTTCATAGTGTTTCATTACTATTCTTGGTTTACAAATTTCTCCTGAAATTTTTTAAGAATTCTAGAAGCATGAGCCATGAAGAAAATGAAACTAAGTCTAAATGTTCAAAATATGAAAAGTAATAGATAATGCGAATTAATTGTATATATTAAAATTTCTAAAACTGTAGCTGTCAAGAAAATAGGAGAAGATTGTATAAAATATTGTTTTATATTAATCAATATATTTTGAACATATTATCAATAATTCTTGAGTAAAAATATTTAAATAATATTATCTTCTATTTATAAAAACAACACACTAGTATTAGGAAGATTTAAGGCTTTCGTACAATATAATATATATACCGTATGGTATCATAGTAATACCATAGAATATAATAGAAGTATTTTTTTAATTCACAAAAGAAAAGATATCAGATCATAAAACTAGACTTGTCGGCAAATTACCGATATTTGTGGTATATTTGTTATTTTTATAAACATAACTAAAGAAATGGAATCCAAATTTGTTTCATCCAAATATGAGAATATAATACATATTTTTATATGGAAATATATATATTTACATATTTCTGAAACCTTAAATTTCTTAAATTGCATAAAAATCCGTAATTTGTTTATCAGACTATCTGAAAAACAAGTTTCGTGCGTCTAGTTCCTTTTACCTCCCACGTGATTCTAGCCCTTTACGTATATACCTCTGGGTGAACGACCCCTTACAACCTGAAGATACTAAAGCTCACACTGGTCACTCTTGAATTAAGAAAATTTCACTCGAAAAATAGCTAGAAACTTTAGAAAGTGCATATTATTAATTTCATTTAGAATATCGACATTAGATTTCTTTTTTTGACTTGTCGAAGAAAAAAATAGATCAACTGGTTGAAGAAAAATTCATAATCTTACAGAACAGTGTAGCAGTATAAATTCACCATCGACTGCAAGAAGTGGCCAACGGTCAATACCGTGGCGGTCAATATCTTAGCGTGTTCTGCTCTCAGCGACCTAGCCTTATCGAAATAATCGGAGAGTTTCCTCCGAAACATATGCGCATTCAAACGAGCCTCCACTCTGCTCTGACATTTCGCTTCAAGGATATTTTCCTTTGTGCATACAATAAATCCGGGACGTGATGCTAATGACTTCCTTACCACGCGATTTCTGATCGCGAACCCCACTCACTGATAACGAGCCGAACTAAAACATTTCGTTCTGAACTTTTTCCTTATCACAGATTACAGGATTTTTTCCACTTTATTTCTTTATTGAACCATTTTTAATAATTTAAATAACAAATCACAGTACATGATGTAACATTTAGTAAGTTATAATATTGATATTAAAAAATTTTCGGAGATGAAATGGAACTAAACTATAGATAAATAATTTTATAGTCGCCAGTTTTGGTTCTCTGGATTATTCAGGGACTTGGAATATATTTATTATATGTAGCATAGATCTATTTTATATAGATAAATTATGTTAATTAGAATTATATTAATATTATACCAGACTTAGACAGCAAATAATTTTCTATTAGCACGCTCAGTAGTGGTTGGATTATAATATATTTCTATGCATTTTTCTTTCTTTGGATATTTCTTATTTTTATACTATTCTTAATGACTAAAGAAATTAATATTATGGATGGGTGTTTAAATATCTTTTATTAATATTTTTAAATTTTTCTGAACTCGACCAATATAATCATCATAATTAAGTCTCAGTATAATGTTAATAAAATTTCGAAATATTTTACATTACAGGAGCATTACATATATATTTATAAACGTAAAAATGTTTGTAAGGATATTATATAATAACTGTAAGGATATTATATAATTTACAGAATCTGAAACATCCGAATTTGGTGAATCTTCTGGAGGTGTTCAGGCGGAAACGGAAATTGCACCTGGTCTTCGAATACTGCGAGTACACGCTGCTGAACGAGATGGAAAGATATCCGAGCGGTTGTCCAGAAATTACCACCAAGCAACTCACGTGGCAAATTCTTCAGGGCGTGGCGTACTGTCATCGGTTAGGTTGCGTTCATAGGGACGTAAAACCGGAAAATATTTTAATCACAGCCGATGGCGTAGTGAAATTGTGCGATTTTGGTTTCGCGCGAATGCTCAGTCCTGGTGAAAATTACACGGAATATGTCGCGACTAGATGGTATAGAGCGCCTGAACTGCTGGTAATTAATAATATAGTGATTAAAACTGCGTTCAAGCATATACTAATGATTTATTAATAGTTTGTGGATGATTATACATTTTTCGAGTATTTAAAGATAAAGAATACACATTCTGTAAAGTAAAAAATATTATTATTATATTTGGTAGATTAAATAAATTTCTATTTATTTTTCGTTTCTTTAGTTTATAAAGATAGAAAATTGCATAATGATCCGCAGACTTCATTAAACGATTAAACATAAGCATTGTTTATTTGTATTATGAGAATTAATTTTGAATTGTTAAGAAAAGGTGTTTTTTAACAGGTTGGAGATACTCAATACGGTACACCAGTCGACGTATGGGCAATTGGATGTGTTTTCGCAGAATTAATACGTGGAGAAGCACTGTGGCCAGGAAAATCGGACGTGGATCAACTGTACTTAATTCGAAGGACTATCGGTGACTTGTTACCAAGGCATTTGGCTATTTTTCAGCAAAATGAATTTTTTGCTGGCATTACACTACCGACACCTCAAACTCTTACCCCTCTTGAAACTACTCTCCCTAATAGAGGAAATGTAATTCTACAGGTAAATTTTTTAATCTTTCTCTATTTAAAATAAATGATTTTAACTCTTTCAATCTTTTTACATTAACTTTTTATATAACCTTTTCTTTAAATTTGAAATGAACAAAGTTATATATATTTCAAGTTATTTTCATTAGGACGATTAATTCATCCCTAAAAGATTCGCATACACTATATAGATTATTCGACATATGAATTTTGAAGTTAAAATGATACAAAATTGGTGCTTCAATTGGACAGATGTAATTACAAAAGATCATAAATTAATCCAAATTTCGAATATAATTTAGGAAAACGTAAATATTATTCAAACGTGTGCTTCGATTTCCTCTATTGAACAAAATTTGTAAATCTTTACAAAATTTGTAGAAGTATTTTTTTTTGTTCAAATGGAACATAAGAAGAAAGCTTAGAGTCTAATTTTGAAGATGCAACTGCAAAAGTTCGTAAATTAATTTTCTTAATTGATTTTTTTTGCAAATGAAAATTTGATCGATTCATAGGCACTAACGCCACGTAGCGGTCAAACGGTGAAATCAATTTCTATTACTTTGTTGCACGCCCTTTGTATAATATACACATATATGTTTAAGTTTAATTATTTATCATTATTTTATATATTATTATTTATGTATTATACATTAATAATCGAGTTTGTTTATTTCAGCTTGACTTTCTTAAAAAATGTTTGGACAAAGATCCTGATGAAAGATGGTCTTGTGAACAACTTCTACAACATTCGTATTTTGAAAATTTTCATTTCAAAATGCCTGAAGTCGAAATGGAGGAATTTGAGAAACTTAAAAAATATCGAGATCGATCACGAGTATGTACAATTGCTCAATAACAAAAATATATAATAATTACACGATATGATAGTAACAAAAAGTATATAAAATTATTAAACTTCAAATGTACAAATTTATTGCTACTATATTAGATAGTATTAAAATATGTCACTGGATAACATAATACATATGACAAAAGTAATAAAAATATCCTACTGTATTGTAGAATAGCAATTACAGTCAAATGGTATTACCTCAACTTCCCAAGGCTGGTGCTTCAGTACATAGTCAAAATGAAAATCGGCCGAAAAGCTCCTCCATGCATCACCAGCAAGATTTTGATCATCTACCTACTATTAAAGGTTGTAATTAAGCTCCTCTGTGATTGTAATATACTTATACATATATACATATATATTTACCTATTTATTTAAACTTTATAGATTTTCATGATATAAATTAATTCTTATTACATTTTATTTTTATTTTGCACGTTTGTCTTTGTAACTTCTGAAGAGATTTTGTTTAATTAGTATGATTTCCATATCATATATACATATTTATTGTATGTATATTGTATGTATATCTTAAAATAAAATTTTATACAAAATAATATTATATACTATTATGTCTAATTGTAAGATACTTATAAAGCAATTATTAATAATTAGCAATTTATTAATAAATCGTTCTTCTTAGAAGTTAATTATAAAATTCAACAAATATTTTTACTTTACCAAAATAACCAACTTTGTGTTTTTTACATATTTTATACAAACTTTATTACACAATATTACATACATACATGTTACCTACATTACATTTAATCATCACTTTTCTTCGTTAAGTTATAATATAGTTTTACGAAAGGATGTTGAACTTGATCTTCTTTTGGTACATTTTTATTTCGTATTTGGTACCAAGCAACATGAATACCAATAAAAGATAAAAAAAATATTAATGTTGGGCTAAAATTGGACATTTTTGGGTTAACTTTTTATTTACGTTTATGCAAGACAGAAACCAGTTTCTTTCATATATTAAAAACGTTTTATATTATCTCCCTGAAAAATTTATATAAAATAGATATATTTTATAAACAAAATATATTTTATTATTACTTACAAAATTTGTTACTAATATGTAATCTGTCGCACATGTTATAATATAAATTATAGGTTATAATAAAGATCCACCATAGACGAGGTATATGAATAGATCAAGCATCTTACAGGATTTCGTGGCCTATGATCTGAAATACCGACATAGTAAAAAAATCACTGATCTTTTAGCGCACTCTACTTTAAACAACGGTAAATTGGGGAACCAGTGAATGCGCTAGCAATATGATTTTTAAAAGCCATTAGATTTTCATTCTAATTTTCATCAATCGCTGATTTTATATCATTATATTTCTTCATTGATGAAGTATCACCACGTTCAATTCAATAAATAATTTTCTAAACACATCTGACAATAATGTTCATATTTTTTTATTTTAATTCTCACCACTAATAGTGCTGCAAACTGGAAAACCTAAATCGGTACAAGATGTGACATGAAAGTGATAAAGAGAACCTAAAAAATCTTCCGAAAAAAGTACATTGTCAAAGTCTATTTATATACCTATATAATAATCGTTATTAATTACTAATTATAATACTTTGTAATTAAGAAATTTTTCATAAGAGAAATTTTTGGATGATTTTAAAATAATATAGATTAATTATATATATACATGTTTCAGTAAAAAAGGCGGGAAATTTTTGTGATAATGTTTTCTAGGTGTAAATAACAATGTTAGAATGTGAAATTGTAATACATATTATTAATGTTCTTTATTAACATTTTGAATCAAGGAGAAATATTAAAAAAATATGTATATAAATATAATATAACGCCTTTATAATAATGGCTGATGAAAAATTGATAAATGTGATACGAAATACCTTTTCATTATATGGACTTATAATTTCAAGGTGTGTACATATATAATTATATTATATAATAATATTTATATAATTAATATTTTTTGACTTTTCTAACATATTGTACGCTAATATATTCTACAAAGAAATTTATTATCTAGGAAACTCAGTGTTTCACTTGCAAAGGAACTTCTAAACGTAGAAGAAAATGAACGTGAAATATGGTTGACACAAATAGCAGAACAAGTTTTATCTCAAGATTTAAGTGATACGCACGTAACTGTTGAAAATTTGCAACTAGCAATACAAGAGTGTATAAAACCCAATACATTAAAGAATACAGAAACAGTATTAAATGTCATAAATGTATTTGATGTTCCTAGAATTAAATATGACTTGTCTAAGAAAAAATTCGTTTTGGAATCTATAACACCAGATTTATATCCTGAAGCACAATATAAATCTACAATTTTTAAAGATAGATTTGAGTTGCTTTGGTACAGAACTTTGAGACATGAATTATTCATTCCTCCAATGCTTGGTGAAAAAAAAGAAAATTGGATTGAATTGGTACCAATTGAATATCTGTTGAGTGAAAGTAAAGAAGGAAATGTATATGTTATGGGTCTTCTGTCTCAATTAGTAGAGGGACAATATTATCTGGAAGACACAGGAGGTTCAATAAAAGTTGATTTGCGAGAAGCAATATCCTTTTTGAAACTTTAAGAATAATAATTATACACATTATTTTAAAATGTAGAATATTGTTATCTAAATAAATATTTTCCTCAATATTTGTACACAATTTTCAGGATGGTTTGATCATGGAATGTTCTATTGTAATAGCTAATGGAGATTTTCATGATGGTGTTTTATACGTGAAAAATTTAGGTTTTCCACCAGCAGAATCATCTAATAATGCACGTGTGGATTTTGGTAATGCTAATGCATTTGGTGGTCCAAGTGAGTTTTCTTTGAAACTTTCGGAAAAATTAAAAACTTATGAAGAAAGTAACAAAGATGGAATGATTGTTTTTGTATCTGAAATGTGGTTAGATGATAAAACTGTTTTACGTAAATTTAAAACTATGTTGGAAGGATATTCTGAATATCCACCTATAGCTTTCGTATTATGTGGACATTTCTTAAGTTTTCCTGCAAAATCATCGAGCGGACAGAAATTGGTAGAGGGACTTCAAAATCTTGCTGATATAATAATGCAATATCCAGATATAAAACGAGATTCCAAATTTATTTTTGTACCTGCCATAAATGATATTGGATCACCAAAAATTTTGCCAAGATTACCACTTCCAAACAACCTTACTGAAGATTTTAGGAACAATATACCTGGAGCAATATTTGCTACTAATCCATGTAGAATTCAGTATTGTACAAAAGAAATTGTGGTATTAAGGGGAGATATTCTAACAAAAATGTGTAGGAATACACTTCACTTTCCATTTCAAGGCAATATTTACGACCATGTAAGCTTTATTGTATTACAGATTGTTATATTTTATTTCATAATTATGTTATTTTATTTTTGTTAAATGTTTTAGTACGCTAAATCAATTATCTGTCAATCTCATTTGACTCCCTTAAGTCTTCCGATGTTACCGATATATTGGAAATATAATCATTCATTACAAATATATCCTACTCCGGATCTTATTGTAACTGCAGACAGATTTGAAGCATATGAAACTGTCTATTCTAATTGTCATGTGATTAATCCAGGATCATTTTCGAAGAACGATCATTCGTTCAAAGTATACGTTCCAGCACTAAATTTAATTGAACATTGTGCTATTCCCAAAGATATGGATAGTGTTTAATTATAAATTGTTTTTAATTTCTGAAAATAAAATATTAACAAGTAAAATGTAATAATAATAATAATTTACTCTATCATCCTTCTATGAACAATTGCATGCTTATTTTGTACAGTATTTATTTTCACATCGAAATTCTCATCAAATTTACAATACTTCAAGCTTTTGTAAGGTTTGTAACTTTGTCCTCAACAATCTTCATTAAAATAAGACCATATTAAGTTACGTTTAGTCATTGAAAATAATTTAATCATACGTTAGAGATATTGGATAATTTTTCGAGTTTTCATATCTAGTAATGTAACTGAAGAATAAGTTATTAGTGATGTTTCAATGACGATCAAATGTGTTTAATATTATCAACATAATATACCTATAACACTCTTCTTTCTCAGGTTTAACAAAATTGTTATATGGGACACAGGAAGTACGCATTTATTTAATTTTCTTTTTTTTCATTTTTTTCTTATCGATTTATATAAATAGATACATACAATATTAAACACATGTGTTTCTACCTCCTCTTCACAATGTACATAACAATATTACAGGTACTGACTGGGCCCCGGCATATCTCAATTCACTGCGCTGGAAGCATAAGTTAATTACTGGCCATTTAATCAAACATCGGTATAAGGATCGTAACTTTATAGAACAACGTATAACATACGAGATGCAATAAAACGCGATAGTACGTTCGCATTACAATTTTGTATTAATAACAAGCTGAACTGCTACCAACAATACCAGCTGTACAGAAGTTAAAGGGAACATATGTAGTTATGTAAATATAATAGTTAAGACACAATTTTTATTTAGCAAAGTTTATGATATATCATTATATATATATATATAATGTACATACAATTATACACATACACGCACGCGCACACACACATATATGTGTATGTATATATATACATATATATATATGTATGTATATAGAAACATTAATTTTCATTATTCAAATTGATTTTTTTCTCTAGCACACACAAACTTTCATTCTTATCCTACATACGCACACATATTTTTTTCATTCTCTCTGTACACTATATAATTTTAGCTTCGTATACGAATTACGAATGCAGCAGAAATGTTTTTTATTCCAAATATTGGAAGCTAGTATTGTATCGATATAACGAATTTTTAGTCGTGGCAAGCGAATGCTAAATTTTTATCTTTTAAATGTTCGATTAGAATGTGAGCATTAATGTTAGAAAAAACAGAGATTAATAATTAATATGTATAATTGTAAATTGTGGGCTGCGCACACTTACTCATCGAAATATGTTACAGTGCCGCTTTATATAAAAAAAGAAGAACGCGCTTATATCTATTGCACATCCTTAAATCTTTATATCTCCTACAATCTCAACTATATCATAATACAGAATAATACATAATAGTTTATATACCAATGCTTTTTTCGTGTAACTATGTACAGGTGTATAAGTTTAGCTAATAAAATTACAATTTCAGTCGACGGACGGTGTAACGGTCCTTCAGACTCCATGTCTCACGAACTTTCTTTCTTTGCGTATAATTCTCCTGAAAAATAAATAGTTAAATCAAAATTTGTAGTCTAGAACTCCTCCGGAACTGTTTCTCCAAAACTATGCAGATCGTTTATTGTTTAATAATTCGTAATAAAGATATAAAATAATTAAACACAGCGATTTAGGAAATAAAATTTTAATAACATATTATGTTTTAAAAAGTTATATTTATATAGATACGTACGTATAGATACGTACACATGAGATTATAAAAATTACACAGAGATTTTTCACATCTTATCTAATTTAATTATCCTTTATATAAAATATACCTTTTTTTAATTATATATATATATATATATATATGTGTGTGTATTATTATTATCTTTTTCGAGTAAAATGTAAAATGTACTATTACTTGAAATACATATGCTTCAAAACTGAAAATGAACGCCTTAATTACAATTAATGTAATACCTACTACCTACTTTCTCTCTGATATCTTCGGCAAGCTTGATTTCTTTCTTCCGCATCGAAGTACCATAGAGTGATTGCATATCTCGTTTTATATGCTGGCTGAACCTCGTGTGGATTTCTCCTGTCAGACCAGAAGAACAATATTCTGTCGAAAAGAGGTTCAATATCTGCTACTTGATCACGCCAGCCTTCTGGAAATATCCTCAAGAGGCCACCATTTTGCTTTAAACGCAAAAATTGTAAAATTATTATAAGTGATGAGGAACCATTGCTTGAAATAATAATATTAAATGAACAAATTAGAAAATATGTATCTTGAGAATTGTTCATTTATTAATTAGATATTTCAATTAATTATTACTGATGATTACGAATACTTATTTATTATCAAGCGTTCATATTAATATTCATAATATGAAATTAATAAAAAATGGGGAAAAAAATAACGATTAAACTTACAGAAGTGTGAATGAAACAAAACAAATCTAGGAACATATATTCATTATTAAAAATTATTCTTATAAGTTTCTCCGTTCTTCAAGTTTATTATCTCTTATAATTCTTTCGTTAAAGCAAAATTCGTAAACATTTAAAGATACAAAAATTCCGGACTCAAAACTTGTTTGTAAAGAGGCCAATAAGCATAAGAATTTTACGCCGGATCATCAAGTTTCTCTTTCGTGATATCCTTGTTTGAAGGATGTATTCATTCATTAGAGTTGAAGGTAACAGGCCCACGTTTTAGTATGAGACATTCTTACACATCCGGTGCTTTTATTTTCTAAGACAGCGTGTGTTTAAACAGCCCCTATTTATCGAGTAGGTCAACATAAATATTGCTCAATATGAGATTCACGTGCATGTGCGAGACGGAAGCGTTACATGGAGCAACTCACGTAGGCCCCCGATACCCTTCGTACTCTATTGCCTGCCCTTTTCCAGAGTGTCCTTACTTTTAAAATTCAAACAATCATGGTCGCACGTGCAGGGTGAACAAGACTTAACAAGGCAACTATAGGAACCAGTACCAGTCGTCACGCTTCCATCGTCATTTTATTTAAGACGAATAAAATATATTTCTCTTTAGGGTGATTTAACTGTTAAGTGAATGAAATTTTTCTAACAAAAATTTTATCTTCCGATTCTTATGTTTGAGAGATACAAATTTTCTTCTTTGCAAATTTCTCATATGTAAATTTGAGAAAACACTGATCTAATTGTAAAAACTAGTGGAACAAAAACGAGATGATTGAACTGATTCTTACCTTGATATCCCAATCTCGATTAAGATAATATATGGCTGTGATGCATCGTCCATCCCGATTTGGATTATCCACATGTTTCACGTAGTGCGAACCGTAGCCAGGATAACAAGCCACCATCGCCTGAAAAATAATGCATCGTGTCATTTTAATCGAAAAAATCGAGTGTCCTTGCAGAGTGCGACTTTACAAGTGCAAACATTTACGATTCGAGTAATCGTTAAGAATATAGATGGTGTCGTAGGATTTTTTATAACAGCTCGTTGGTTTATAACAGAAAAGACGCGTTGAATAATAATAATCATTCTAAATAAGCTAAATAAGAATATAAATCAAATTTAATAATTACTCATCGATGGTAAGTAGCTCTTTCTTTTAAATTAAAAGCGACAAAATAGCGAAGATAAATGGTCTCCGAGATGTAGTAAAACAAGCATAAGATATCGTAGCTAGTACTAATCTTGCATTATCAAAAGATAAATGAGCGCCTAATATATTTATGAAAGACCAACATGTTGAAAGTATTTTCCTCTACTATGTATATGTGTGGCTATATCATGTGTTTTTTTTATGTTCTTATTGACTTTAAATCATTCTATAGAAAATTAATTTCTATAGACAATTGGTAGTTGTAGTTATGAACGTAGGTGAATTGAACTTTCTAATAAAAATAGATCTGTGAATCCATATGAAATTTTGATTTATATTAACATTCTTTAAAAGTCATTATAATTATCAATTTATAAACTTACAATTAGAAAATAAAATTTTCAATGAAATTTATTAAATTTATCATTGTGTTTTATAATCAGCGTTCGAATTTTAATTTAATAGTAATTGTACAATTTTGTTTACGTTTCTACATTGTATATCACGTATATGTATGCAATTCTTGCAAAATATTTTCCGATGATAACGTTATCATTCTAAGAATATTATCGAAATATAATGATGTTATACCTTAAGAATTTTAATCAATTGATTAAATGAATAAAAAATAATAACTACCTGAAATCATCATATCTGTAATGCGAGATGGCCTTATAATACTACAATCACTTTTTACAAGAATAATGCACGTTTCGCTTAAATTTTTTTATCAGCAGAGACTTAAAATCGATTTTCAATTGTATCGATTTCTTGGTAATTGTTTCATTTAATTCTTGAGTAAAAGTAAATTATGTTTCGTGGCAATTTAATTACCAAGTTAAATTTTATTATTTAATTAAATACAGAGCAATAAATGTAAAATTATAAAAATTAATATGGAGCGCTTATTAAAATATTATATTATTTTATATGTGGATAGTTAAGGCATTTAAATTTCATTTGCTTCCAGTTTCTAAAAATATAACTGTGAAAAAAACCGAAAATTTTTGCTTTGTATGCACCTGAATAAATTGTATTATTAATCACAGTGTATGAAAGTAAGTGAGTAGTCACAGTGTATGAAATCTCAAGTAGGTTTCAAGCCTTTCCTGCGATGCATCACGTAAATAAAAGAATTCTGACTAAATACTGAATGACTCATCGCCACAAAAGTAACATCAAAGAATAACAGATTATTTCTGTTCCTTCGATTGATTTATATTCACTTCGATAATAATTGAATGAGTAATATTAAAAGAAAAATAAGGACTTTCTTAAATCAAAAATTGCAATCTTTCGACTAACGATATTTTGAAGCTCAATCTCACTTTAAAGAAAATTAAAATAAAAAAAATCGTATGAACTTGAAAAAAAAGACGAATTTTGGGTTCATCGTAACAATTTTCTACGATTCATGACCATGGAATATTACGCGAAGTCAATGATCTGAATAATTACTAAGCGTAAGACAACCGATCTAGTACCAAGGAATATAGTCAAAGCATATAGTGTAATAAATTGTAAACCTCTTTACACATAAATTCAGATCTAATAAGAACTTAATTCCGTATCGAAGTTAGAAACAATTTAAAATTTTAAAAAACGTTCACAAGTAATAGGTCTTTAATTTTTCGTTTAAACGTAAGATCATTTCTTAAACATTTAAAAAGAACTAAAAAATACTTTTTCTCGCTGTTTCTCACGTATACAAGGCGCAAACTATTTTAATTTATTTTCTATCAATATCAGACGACACTGTGTCTGTTATTGATTGGCACAGATTCACACCAAATGCAGTTTTCAGACAATTATCGCATATCCAGAAGTTGGTTCCAGAATTTTTCATTCCTCTAATGTAATATCAATAGTTCGAAATGTTAGTATATTCTTTTTCTTTTAAAATTTGCAGTTGTACTAACAAATACAGCAATATAAAATTACAATTCAGAATAAGAAGTTACAAAATTAATCAATAAATCAATCAATTAATGTGTGAACAAATTATTGAAATTACTATGAATAATGAATACTGTACACTTTTATGCATGTTGTTCGCATTGTTCGTTAGAATATTTAATAGATTACTTATATTCCATTATTTTATTTTTAAAATATAATTTTGCATAAATATCCACTGTCTAATAATCATATGTATATCCACTGATTTTACACAAATCATTTTATAAGAGATGTATAGTCTCAATTTCAGTAAACTGAGTTTCAATCTAACCAGACATATCAAAGAAGCGTTAATAGTAGAACAGCCAGAAATCTCATAGCGCACGCACATGTACGAAAAGGGCCGAGATAGTCACAAGGTCTCTTTAGAGGGAGAACGTACATATATATAAATAGGGATCACCTTTTAGCCTTGACCTAAATAGATTACTAACCTTGGGACTATATTCGGCAATGTGTATTATCACGTAATCCACGAAACATGTACACACGATTTTTTTATTTTTTTTCTATTGTCTTGTAATGAAAATGTCAGTGTGTGTGTGAAAATTATATCTTCAAGTTCGAAATATATATGTTTTTCTCTGCTCGTTTTCTTTTTGTACCAATTTTTTTAAAGCTTTGAAAATAAATCCTGACAGAAAGTGAAATTCCTGATTTTGTTGAACTTTTAGATGTTGAAAAATGTAGCTCGTACATTTGAAATTTTTAAAAACTTTTTAATAGTCATGAACGATAAATTCTTAATATACTTTTTATAAGAGTGGGAAGGAGATATGAAGAATCATCTTTTTTCTCATATTTTTCATATGTACTTTTATAAATTGTCCGTGAACTTTTAAAGAGATATTTAAGAAGACGAACTTTTATGGGAAGATAAAAACTGTGCTGAAATTCAAGATGATTAAATTAATTAATGAATTATTTGGTTGAAGTACAACAGATACGATAAATGCCTGAAGTAGACATTCTTTTTTCTAAATCTGAATTGAAAATATAAATGCAAACCACGATAAAAATGTACATATATTAAAAATAATAAGATTAGACTGTTCTTGTTTTGTAATACATCTCTTCTTCATGAATGAAAATTAATTTCAGTAAACCATCTTAGGAGCAAATAGTTCATTACTACTGATTAAATACTGTAACAAACTTGCTTTCAGATTCTAGATTAAATTGCAGTTAATTGATATAACTCGTTTTCTGGTAATTAGTCGCAAATAGCAATGAAAACAGAACTTTTTACAAGCTTCCATATTATATCGATTGATTTTTTTTAAATTCCTTTGGTTCTCTACTGTATTGGATAAAAATCTATGTTCAAATAAGACACTCGTGTCACGCGTTCTATAACAGTGATCCAGTATGGCAAATGCCTTTCACCGTACCAACTAAACAGTATACGATACATATGAAAAAGCTGTTCGATAAGAAAGAACAACCTCCAGCTACGTAGATTACGAGCGGGATTTCCGATCGAAAATATTTTTTCTTCAAAGCGTGTCGGCGCGATTTTACCACGTTCAATATTGATATCGATAGTATTCAATAACTATTGAATTGTGCACCATCGAATCACCTTGAGAGATGGACAATTGATACTGAGTTTGACGTCATACACATCGTTTTGTTTTAACGTTAGAGACAGCAGAGAAACATTCGTGCAATCAGTTAACTATTATCTTTCTCGATTTCCGCCGCGTCGATTCAATGACAGAAATTACCCGAAAATATTAAACATTCTTTCCTAACATGAATCACACTCGTATAAATCCAACGGTTCCGAATGTGCGACGTGTACAGCGCTTAAAGATGCGCACGTACCTTATTTGTAATCTTTTTTTATCTTTGCAGATAATTGAATTTATTAACAGACATCGACTGATATGATATAGATAGACTGCACCAGTGAGACAAAACGCTTTGATATCGTACACTTTACGTGCAATTCGTCACGTTCCTCAGATAAGGAATACAACCTGCCAAAAATACATCACTGCGATAATGATATAAGAATCAACGAAACCACAGATTACGAACAGTCGAGACACAAATGTGTGAATTCTTGACGTGAAAACAGTATCGTCTGATACGTGTTTATTAAACCGGAAGTCGAATGGCAGTGTGCGATCTTTGTTCTTTCGTTTGGTACAAATATCAAGAAAGACCGAAGAAATATACTTTCGTGCGGCTGGTTGAAAATAATCTGACAATAAGTTTCGAATAATCTTTCATAGTCTGTGAAATATTTGAGTTTTTTAAAATTTTGTTTTATATGGTTTATGATTAATAACTTATATTCAAAAAGGTTAAAAGTTTACATACATGTTTTGGAACATAGACTATTCAGTCCTGTTCAACACAAAGGATTGAAAAATTTGTATCTTTTTTGGACTTTTAAGTATTTTTTCGTACCTTGTGATGATCTATATAACAATCCTTTCTCTGTGTAAAACGTGAAATATGAGTGAAATTTTACATATTTCTTATAACAAATTTACTATATCAGAGGTCAGACTCATTTATCCTATTTTATGTGCTTTTTGTGTTCATTGTTTTGTTAACAAAAAGTTAACAAAACTTGGTTTAATGAAGGAAAAAATTGTTTTGCATATTTATTACGTAATTTATGACTGACAGTTATATTCGTGTCTGAAACGTATGATTAAGCTCGAATTATTATCAGGAGGTACTACGTCCACCCAGTCGTTTATATGTAACGCAGTACACAATATCGATCATATTCGAATATTTTTAATAATTTTTAATAATTTAAATTTTAACAAGTTGTTTTAACTCGTTTTCCAACAATTTTATATTGAACGAATTCTTACTTTATTTACAAATAAACCTCATTTGAGTTATACGTAATCTACGAGAGAGGTAATTCTCAATGACTTTCCTCACAATCGTTTTTGGACATCATGAATATTAAGCAAGGCTTTGGAGTAGAAGTGACAATTTAGAAAGAAGCAAAACCACGTCCAATCCTTTTCTAAATTCACATTACTTTCATATCGATATACAGCACCTACGTCATAATCAGATTTTTAGCATTTGAACAACGTCCAAGAATTATTTCAAATCTCGTCGAAAGGAATATTCATTCTAACTTGACAAATCTTGACAACTATAGCAACTGAAATGCAATTAATCAGCAACGAGCCGAAAGAAGAAGGAAAAACGTCGGTATATTGTTCGTTTAAATGAAACAATCAAGTATTACGTTATGTTTTCAGGGGAAAACCACTTTGCCAATATTATTACACGTGTTTCATAGAATCGGAAGAAAAACACACACGTCTGTTACTCTTCGAATACAGAAAATATTTCTGCAGCATGAGTCATCGATTGGAACCATATAATTCTATATTATATATACATATATAGTCCATTTTGCCTTCGGTAATTACACGAAATCTAACTATTGTAAAAATTCTTTATCAAAAGTGATTTTGTTCTAATACTTGATAAAACATACTAAAAGCATACTTCGACAAACGACATGGTTCGGGATATATCGCACATTGAATGAGGAAAACTATACTGTTATTTATGCTAAAAATATTTCATGTTTCTCTCATTGTAATGTGCACGCATGTGAGTCATATATAATAAATTAAAAATTTTCATCCCCAATATGTAAGAATTTATTGTTGCTGCACTATCATAAAACTCAATATTCATTGCGTTTTTCCTGGCAATCGAAATTCCTTTCCTACGAAATGTAATTTTTTTTCTTATTTTTAAAACGTAGATTTTATCCGTACGTGTATGGAAAAAATAATTAAATAATGAAGTAAATGTCGTCAAATATATTAGTGATCAGTAATCAGCATTGTAATTTCAACACTCATTTCAAAACTTTATTCATATCTTTATATCTATTTAATCTGGTTTAAAATTTCTTATTTCGGTAAAAGAAAATAGTCGAAATCTCGCAATGATGTCGTATCATAAAATAAAAAATTTTAAATTATCTGTTTCAATGGATTCTAAATGAATCTAAATGAAAATGTACGCATCTACCTACATATTTATATATTTGTATTTTTAAAATATTTATACTATAATGTGATAATTTGAAATAACAATTTTCTCTTTAAACTGTAAAGTGTTGTAATTATAATTATTTTACAAATGAAAGATATGTATGTCGAACCGATCAGAAAATCAACAAGCACCGGTAAATATCCTCGTGGAAACGCCACTACGAAGACGAATGAAATCGTCCTCAAACACGATTGGCACGTTCTCAACCATCTAACTATATGCACAAATGCATATGTATATATATGTATGTTGTACCTCGTCGATTCTTTCACCTTCACGAAGGTTAAAGAGCGAGATGTAGCCAGCTGGTTGTAAGGATTTAATCGAAAGTGAACGGCCTGACGCGAATATGTTGGTTATTGTCAACAAAAAACCTATTACAAAATAGACTTTAATATCATATTCCAAAAAACATTAGACTATTTTGATAATTTAGCAAAATCTTCGAGCATTTTTACACATTTTAAAAAAATAAAACCATTCTCATAAGATAGAGAAAAACTGACACTATTGATACTAAATTTCGTTACGCAACATCACGTAATTTTAACCATGCATAATTATCTAACGATGAAATTCTCCAAGATGATGTGCCAGCTTTCTCGTTATGCTAGTATAATATTGATAGCAGTCTTCTACGATACGTTTCAACGAATTTTAGTATTATATCATCATATGTTTTTCATTTATCTAGTCAGAATACAACACGCTATTGTTTTCCTCTTTATACGCGCGAACGAGAAGTTAATAATAATAAAATTAAAAATAATAACTAAGCGATAGTAATATAACAAAATGCTATGGAGAGTTTTATATATAAAAATATTTTTATATTTTTTCAATATTTTCATGTATTATTTAACGAACTACTAAATATTTTCCTTTTATTCATTTTACTTTATCACAATATAATTTTTGGTAATTTCAACTTTGCTAATTAAATAAATGCAGTTTGCCGGTAGAAGAGAACGCGCGCTTTTTAAAATCAAGGGACGAAAAGGAAAATGAAGAAATTTTTAACCAAACGATATTGCGTGAACATACTGCTAATTGGGCGTTCCAATTAGATGGAGGATTTGGCAACAAAAGAATTCGAAGTGTACTGAATATTTTCTTACGAACTATAAATGGAAGCAGTGACAGAACGGCGCGATATGTTTAGTTTAAAAATACACATTCGCTTGTTTCTTTGGAAGGGGAATCAATTGCAAAGACTTTAGAATCGACTTTTTTTCAGACTCTCAGTTGTAATAATTTTAGAATCATGTTCATTTTTCATTTTTCATTTTTATTTCTTTCTTTATTTTACCTATTTTAATTTAATATAATTATATACTTATTTTGCAATATCTAATATCGAAATAATATTTAATATCAAATGCATTGAATTCAATAATATATACTTTCAAACAATCTATTATGAAACATTGCTATATATATTAATGATAAATTAACTTACAATAGCGATACTTATAATATTATGCAAAATATCTATACATTACGGAAGACCATTAAAAAGAAATGAGAACCGCTGTTATATACCGAGAAAACAATAGCAAATGTATCATCAAAGTTTAAATTGTAATAATATTTAAAGAATTATTCAAGAATACATGAAATTCAGTAAATTTATTTTAAAACAAGATTAATTTATTTTAGAATTTTATAGAAGAAAAAACAAATTGAGATAACCTTAAAATCTTCATATCCAACGATCACACAGAAATTTAATTTTACAGTTTCGTTTTTTTCGTGGAATCGAATAAATGACAAGTAAATAACTTTATATTCTTAAATGCTCAAATGCTCACATAATCGAATGTTATATATATTATATAAATAAAGTATTCGCAAAAGCTATGTTTGTCAGCCGTAACTGACCATTGCTACTACATACTAGATTTGTCTTTATAACATATCGTATCGTTTCACTCGCACATGGTTTACATGTTTACGAGAAACAGGATGCGTAATCGGGAACATTCACATGTCTGCTTTCTGGCATAAGAGACGAAAGGGAGAGTCGGTGAAAGACAAGGAGAAAGAGATAACGAGTCAACCGTGCGGCGTACGTGACCGACTGCACTTCGTGCGTAGCTACTCTCATTTTAGTTCTTCGTTTAGCATACGAGCCACCCGAAAGATCGTTGCAATTTCGGGATCCTGACCTTCTCTGCTTGCCATCGCTTATTCTCTCTCTCGACCGCCTACAAGATTAAATACCGTTGCTTCGAGGGACGCGAGAGATCTACTTTTTTTTACCAATACAACGAATGCGCGTTGTCGATATTGTCCTTTGGAGTTTTACAACAAATCAGGAAATGTGGCATGCTTGTATTTCAATGACTAATTCGATTGCTATGGCTATTACGCGAAACAACAGATCATTTTTTCCGGTTTATGTTATATTTCTGCATATGCATTGTTCTTTCGATAATCAAAAAATCATTTTTCCATCACAAACTATGATTGGAATTTAATTTGACAGTTATTTGAAATTAACGAACATTTTTAATGTACTGTTACCTAACAATATGTAACTATGTAATAAATATAATTTCTTAAATACTCTTTTTTACACAATACAATATGCTGTAATAGCAGTACTATATATTTTTTATAATAATAAGTAAAAGATATAATTGTTTTGCAAAGACCATAAATTGTAACAATTGTATAGAAGATTAAAACTAAATTGTAAGCAATTTGTTTAAACATTTAATATTCAATTATTCATGGTATATGTAATTGTATGTTATATTTAAAATAAAACAATTTTATTGCCAAAGTTTATTTTAAATTGTAATTAGTTTAAATAATACTGTTTTAAGTATAATTAGGGATTAAATAAATTTATCATGTTAAATAAAAAAAATAAATAAAATAAAATAAAAAATATTTCCAATGTTTTTGAAATTAATTTAGAAATAAAAAAGGAATTATAGAACTTGTCAAAACTAGAGAAATACAATACAAACTCTAATGTATAGAGATTTAGAAAAACATATTTATATATTTACATGTTCTATAGACATTAATATACCAAATAATAAAATATTAATACATATCTTAAATTTACTACTTATTATTCAAATAATATAAACATAAACTTTGACAAAGTCAGTTTATTTGACACAATAAATTAAAATAAATCAAAATAAATGTAACTAATTATATTGAATATGCATCTAATGCTGATGAAATCATTTATTCTTACCTTTGTCCTTCCATTGATTGTGTAGTTTCCCATTTTCCCATTGTTACACATTTTATTTGCCCTCATAATGACAGCATCAACTTGGGATATGAGCATTCCAATATTTTGACATTGTTTTTCTTTTCCATCAAGCCACGTTATTTGATCACCACGAATTGTCTTTAAATCATTTGCACCTGCTTTATTAGAAACCAATTGTCCATCCTTAAATAATCCAGCACTATACATATTTAAAACTTCGTTTAACACTGCAAGACCCTTTTCAGTCCCTAGAAAATTGTCTACCACACACATACCATACTCATCCATGTCTCTAATCACATTTTTGCTTATATCGTCTATTAATTCTTCAAGATTATTTTTATTTTTATGAAGGAAAGATGGTAGAAATTCTTCACGAGTTAAACGAATCTCTGGGAAGGTCTTCATACCGTTATGATGTTGTATTGGCATATTTAATTCATTGTCTTGTAAGTTATCTAAGATTCTTGAACCTTCTAAGGCAGGATTCAATGATTCTGTTCTGGCACCTAAGATCGTATCTTCAGAACTTCCTTCATAGGTTATGGGAGAAGTCCATCCATCTACTCTGTTTGTACGAGTACCTTTTGTTTTGATGTTATTGGATTTTCTCTTGGAATTTTGGCTTTCCTTACGATCTGATTGTCCTTTTGCTTTTTCTATCTGTTTGTTGGTTCCTATAAACAATAAAATCATACAAAAATTACTTAAAATAAACGAGACGAAAAGATTATATTTATCTTATGAAGAAAGTCATGCAGCTCATAGTAAATAATAAACTATTAAGCTAGTAAAAGGCTACTGTTTTCTTTGCAAAATAAAATATTTGTTTGTTTAAATAGTTACAATCATACAATTCTAACAGTTTTGTGAAAAATCACAAAGAAAACAAGATCATGTTTCATATACCTCCAAGACGTTTCCTGTCATTATACACTGGAGCAGTGCTCGATTCTCGCGTTGTTTCTAATACCGATTTTTCGCTTAGGTTAGAAACCACTGGTACAATTGAATTGTGGCAGTTCCTTACGGAAGAATCTTTTTTAGTGGATTTTAAAATGGAATTTTGACTAGCAACCGAAACAGTATCCGATACGATCGATTCCACGGAATGAGTCGCACAAAATTCTTTGTGACGTTTCCAATCCCGCCTTTGATGTTCTTTGGTACAATAAAAGACGGCCTTGCACCGTGAACACCTTAACAGCTTGTCAGTTCTATTACAGATAACACAACCCAACGTTACACCTATTTGAACATCACCGCCGGGTGTCTGCGCACGACTGACTATCGGTCCGGACATGTTTCGTCGTTTATTTAGCGGCCACGAGTGCCGACGACATTTCTCCAACGACAGAAGTCACACACGCACTCAATCTGCGTACGATACTAGCGCGCTATCGAGACTCCGCATTGCTTATATGTACGATCGTCTTTGGTTTACATACTATATATACGTTATCAGATTTGCAAAATACCCATTAGTGAAACGACGATCGAAACACCAATGCTTAATGTTCTTTATTACTACTCGTGTAAGTGGTCGTGCATATGCATACTTGTGCACCGATATGTCAAATCGCACTGCGTCGAGTTTTTTCTTTGAAAATTCATTTAAAAGTTAGACATGCATTTACTATCTTGGTCGTCCTTAAGAGAGCGCCACTTTGTAGTTATATTTTTGCAATCAAGATTATTTCGTAATTTACAGCAACAATTTTTAAAAGCATACGTCTTGTTTTAAATCGCTCTTTTATACGTGATGTACATCATCGACACATAAAGATGTTATAAAGAATGGAAATTTATTATTTGATGTAAAATATGAACTGAATTAAATACAAATGAGAAGTCAAATACGCTGTCATTAATGTCATTTTATTTAAGCATGAATTACGAAGAAAATATATGAAAATTTGATGTATTTTTTTTGCGATTAACGTAATGTATAAATTCAATGTATATATAAAATGTAATAAAATGCTTTCGAAATAGCAAATTTTTATAAATGTTTATTATAGAAAAATCATGTTATGACTGACGTGGTATTTCTTGAATAATTTTTTAAATATAATTAAAAATATAATATTAAATGTCTTTATTTTTCTTAAGAAAAAGCAATTGTTTCCATAGTTACGATATTCCTTTTGTATCACAACATTACTGTATACATCACAGTTGAATTATTAAAACTTTGTGATACAAAGACAATTTGACTTTTGTGAGTAAAAAAATTATTTTAAAAAATGACTACTTTTATACCAAATGTGCACATTAAAGATGGAGAATATACAAAAACTATTTATTCAATGGTACATTTCACTTGTATTTAAAAATTTATTTTGTTGGAAGTATATTTAAATAATATATGTACATAATATAGAAATCAATTTTTCAGATCAAAGAACAACGATATTCAGAAACAATAAAAGTTCTTATTATTCTTTTAGATTTCTATCCCACTGTATGTATTACTACATTGAAATCAACTTTTTTATCTTCAATATCAATGTTTAATAATAATAAATTATTTCACAGTCTAGACCTTGTTTGTCTCTTCTTGCTCATTGTTATTTTTATACACAAGATTTCATAGCTTCTGCACAATGTTATGAAAAGTTAGTTCAATTATGTCCTAATGAAAGCATATATAAGTTATATCATGCTCAATCTTTGCACCAAGCATGTATGTATCAAGAGGCTTGGACAATATGTTCCAACGTCATTAATCAAAGCAATTTAGAATTTAAAGTAAAAAAACTACAGGCAGCAATAAAATATGGTCAAGAAGATGTTGTTGCTGCAAAAAATCTTGTAGATCAATGTCCAGCAGATGATGTTGATACAGAAATTAATTTAGGGTGTCTTCTATATAAGGTATGAAAGATATTAAGGAAATGTAAAATTTCTGTTTATGCAACAATTTATACTATTTCCTTATTTAGGAGGAACAATATGAACAAGCTTTAAAAAAGTTTGCAAATGCACTGCAAATTGTAGGTTTCAAGCCTCATTTATCATATAATGTAGCACTTTGTTACTTTAAATTAAAAGAATATGCAGCATCATTAAAACATATTGGTAAAATTTACATTGTTATTAAGCATTAAATTCGTAAATAAAATTACTTTAAAATAATATTTTATACTGATGCATATTATGTATATACTAGCTGATATTATAGAACAAGGAATAAGGGAACATCCAGAATTAGGAGTGGGTATGACAACAGAAGGAATAGAAGTGCGCAGTGTTGGAAATACATTAACACTTCATGAAACAGCTCTGACAGAAGCATTTAACTTGAAAGCAGCCATTGAATACCAGTTACAAAATTGTAATCATTTCTTATGAATTTAGTTTTTTATGATATATCTAATTACAAATAATAATATTTCGCACTCTTTATTTGCTATTTTTAGATGAATCAGCAAAAGAAGCATTAACAGATATGCCCCCTAGATCTGAGGAAGAGCTTGATGCTGTTACTTTGCATAACCAAGCTTTAATAAATATGGATACAAAGCCTAGTGAGGGATTTGAAAAGCTTCAATTTTTATTGCAACAAAATCCATTTCCACCTGAAACTTTTGCAAATTTATTACTATTATACTGCAAATATCAATATTATGATTTAGCAGCTGATGTTCTTGCTGAAAATGTACACTTGACTTATAAATATTTAACACCAGTAAGTATTATCTTTATTGTTATATGTAGATATTTATAAATGTAGCTCTTACAAGTTATCTGTTTGAAATACTTCAATAATTAAAAAATATACGAAATCAGCACAAAAATTATAGTTGAATTCTAATTTTCACGTTTTCATTCAGATTTAGTTTTTGAATATTTACACTTTTTGGTTCGTTTTTCTGAACTTTCTGTATACTTTCGTTTATGAGCTTTCACATCGTGACTAGAAAAGCTATCACTAGAACTCTTATCACTAGAAGAACTCTTGTACTTTTTCTTTTTCTTTTTTTGATCTTTAGAATATTTCTTCTTTTTGTTTTTAATTACATCTTTTTCATTAGAATCACTATCAAATGTGTCTTGTTTGATTTTTTTAGTTTTCTTTTTCTTTTTCAATTTCTTTTGTTTATGTTTTTTCTCTTTCTTGCTTACATCAGCTTGTGCTTGACTAACTTCTTCTTTTTCTTCAATTTCTGGGATCAATTCATATTTTTTTCCATCAGGACTCATAAAACATTCTTTAGATAAATGTCCAGCAGTACCACATTTTGTACATGTAGTGTTAAGGACTGCTTCTAAGTGAATAGTTTTATTTTCGTGTTTCTCCACAATTTTTTTCTTTTGTATATCTCTTTGTAATTGTACTCCATTTGGATCTAAATCTGTACCATTTCCTTGATTTACATACTTCATAGATAATCCTATTTTGCCATCATCTCCAATAGAAATAACTTTACACCATATACGTTCTCCTTTTTGTAAAACTTCTATAACATTATCTACATGAGCAGAGCTTACCTAAAGAAATATTTTATATAAAATATATAAAATACATAAAAATACAAATTATATCATTTTATTATAGAACATAAATAAGTAATTTATTGTGATTGTATTGTTCTCATACTTGTGATTTATGTATTAATCCCTGGGCAGAACATCCTGGAATTCTGATAAAAGCTCCATAATTTTGAACAGATGCAACTTCTCCAAGAAATATTTGATTTAATTTGCAAGTAGCCATTCTTATAAATGTATCTAGGCAAGAAGCAACAATAATAAACAAATGTCAATTGAATTTGACTTGAGGTTAGGTTTACTCCTACTTATGATGCTAAATGCAGGACTGTAGCAAAAGAATTAATTTAGGGTGCAGAGAACGAAAAATAATCACTTTTTCATTCAACATAAACTTATTAGAATTAAAAGCGAATAGTATGAAGAATTTCATTATAATCACAACAATATTTATTTCCCAGTATTTATATGATTTTCTGGATGCGTTAATTACACAACAAACTTCACCAGAGGAAGCATATCGCAAATTTGACGATCTTGGTAACAAACATATGGAAATTTTGCGAAAAGCAACAAAAAGAGTTCAGGAAGCACGATTAAATCATGATGATGGTGCTGTTAAAAAAGCTGTAAATGATTACGAAGAAGCTTTGGAAAGATATGTTCCAGTTCTAATGGCACAAGCTAAAATTTATTGGGAACTTGGAAATTATACGCAAGTTGAGAAAATTTTTAGAAAAAGCGTTGAATTTTGCAATGAACATGATATATGGAAATTAAATGTAGCTCATACCCTTTTCATGCAAGAAAATAAATTTAAGGAAGCAACAGGATTTTACGAGCCAATTGTTAGAAAAAAATATGATAATGTTAGTTGTGTCATTTTTAACTTTTTTTTAAATGCAATCTATATGTATATGTTAATATATAAATTATTAAATATTATCAAAATTTTAGATTTTAGATGTAAGTGCTATAGTACTTGCTAATTTATGTGTAAGTTATATCATGACATCGCAAAATGCGGAAGCTGAAGGATTAATGAAGAAGATAGAAAAAGAAGAACAAGTAGTTTCACGAGAAGATCAAGACAAAAAATTATTTCATTTATGTATCGTAAATTTAGTAATTGGAACATTATATTGTTCCAAAGGAAATTATGAATTTGGTATATCCAGAGTAATGAAAAGTTTGGAACCCTATAATAAAAAGTTAGGAACAGATACTTGGTTTTATGCGAAAAGATGTTTTCTCTCTCTTTTAGAACAATTAGCTAAACAATTAGTAGTTTTAAAAGATACTACTCTTCAGGAATGTATACAATTTTTGGAACATTGCGAAGGTATTTTTAATTTTTTTATATATAATAATATAGTTATTAAAAGTTGTTAAAATATTTTTTTCTTTTTAGTTTACGGAAGAGATGTGGTAACAGTAGTAGAACAACCTTTTGATATGCTTTCTATTACTCCACATGGCAAACAAACAGTTGTTTACGAAGCACGATACTTGAAAGCCTTATTTTTAAAATTACAGATGTCTTAAACATATGTATAATATGTATAAAATTTATAAAATATTTATGTATAGAAATACATTAATTACGACATTTCAATATTACATAATATATTTTTTTTAAATGTTTAGAAAATGAAAGTTTGACATGTTAGCTTTTATAAAAATGAAATTTTGGAAATATATTGAAAATTTAAAAATGATTACTCATGTTTTTATTTTGAAGTTACATACCTGATGATTTACTGCATACGTCAGTCTAGTGAAAATGGTGGTCGACATGGAGCTACAGGAAGCTAAGGATTATGTTCTTCAGCTTATGAAAGACAAAGATAAAATTGAATCGGATTTGGAGGCTTTAAAAGAAATCTTAGAGATTGTATGTAGATTGATATATTTTTAACTTGTGCAGAATATGTTTGACAATATTATCGGAAATATATATATTATATTTTATATTAGAATGATTTGTCAAATTTTCGAAGGAATGATCATATATTGGTATGAATTATAGAATCATGTTGGCATGGAAGATTCATTGGTGGACTGCGAAGGATATCCACGAAATGATATTGATGTTTACCAAGTGAGACATGTGAGACATAAGATAATATGTGCGTTTAGTTACTACGCAATTTTCTCGCATAAAATTTTACTAACTTGAACTTATTAGTACATTATTAAGTGACTAGGTCTCAGAAATGATCACAAAGCATTGATGAATAAAATAGAAGAAGGTTTACACAAAGTGCATGCTCTAGCAAGAAACCAAACAGAAAGTCCATCTCCAACTGTTATTCAAGATAATGTACAGTTGGATCCTTTCTTAAAAGTGAATTTAGTATCACCAGGTTCTCCAGCAGATATAGCGGTAAAAAATTGATTTTGGATTTTTATAATATTTATAAACTTATGCATCTATGATTCATTGAATATTAAATTATATAGGGAATCCAAGTTGATGATCTTATCTTAGAATTCGGTTCTATTGATTGTCGAAATTTTAAGTCATTAAAGGATATTGGAACTCTGGTACAAAATAGCAGATATAAAACAATAAATATAAAACTCAAACGTGGATCTAATATCATAGCCTTGACTTTAATTCCACGTCCATGGATTGGTAATGGTCTTCTGGGTTGCAATGTAATACCTATAGAGTCAGTTGAAAGATAAAAGCTCCTGAAAGAAATTTTTATTTATATGTTGATTTTGTGTGTATATTAATCAATAAAAGAATATTTATAAATTATTGTGTTTATAATTATTATATTCATAATACACTTGTTATGCAATGATCTTAGTGTTGGCATTAAATAAATGTTAAAAGTATAATCCTAAGATGTCAGGCATTTAGACCTTGAAATTTAATACACATAATCTATCAATATAAATTCTTACTTGAGTACTTGAAGTGGTGGAATGACTATAAAAACAAGTCAAGATTCTAAGAAGCAGCAGTTAGTTTTGGAAAGCAATAGCAAGATGTATTTTCCATTCATTGTAAGTTATAACTTATTAATTTGTGTTATAATTTACATGTATATTAATTTATTTATAAAAATCTTTTTTATATAGGCAACTTTCAGCTTAATTCTCTGTGGATGTCAAGTACTAAGTCAAACTAACACTTATGAGTATTCTGATCAACGTCCATGGTCCTTTGTTTATACTTTATATCCATTCTATAATTCTGAAACATTGCTTGAAGTTTGGAGAGGAGACAAAAGTATAGATATCTCTACCAATGTAGTAACTATAGCTCCACATGAACAAGAACAAACAGTAGTCTTTTCTGATGATGTTCAACGTAATGGTACCAATTTAAAATCACAAGATAATTTATCTTATTTTTTAAGCGAAACAAAAAATATAAATGAGGAACAGTTATTAAAAAACAGACAGCGACTCTCTAATTATGTAAGCATTAATATTGTAATTATTATTCTTAAAATTCTATTATAATAAAAATTTTCTATACTATTATAAAATATGTATTTCAATATTACAGAGAAACAGACATAAAGATACAACTCTTCAAAATGAATAAGAAGATAATGTTTGGATATCAACTGGATTTTATGATTTGAAAAGATTTATATGTATATTTATGCATTAAAATGATGATTTTAGATAGTTAGTGTTGCTGTATTTTCACTATATTATTAAGAATTAAAAAATTATTTTGCTTGTAGGAAATTATATTAGTGTCTGTATTAGAAAATTTTATTAAACATGAAGTAATTTACATATAAAATTTAAATATTTTTATTTCCAATCCCTAAATTGAAAACTATTATACTGAATTTTTATTTAGTTTAATATTTTGTATTTTTAATTATTTACAATTATTCTAACTTGCAACAATGATTAATAATCAGAAATAGTTACGAAATATATAAAAATTTTGTTTAATAGTAAAATTAGAATTGTGTGAATCGTTTGATTCGATTATTTATATATATTTAATTGTATATTAATAATTTACTTCATACTTAACTATATAATGTTTGAAATTCGCGCTTTAACATGTATAATATATTCATTCTAAAAATATTTGCTAAAACATTTGTTTTTTCTTTTTGTATTTTCTTTTCAAATAAAAAATAAAAATTAAGTAAAAAATTTCTTATTGTTGAAATTTCCATAATTTATTTATTGAGGAGACTTTTATAATTTTTGAGTTTTTAATATTTCAGTTTTTCGCGCGTTTTTTTTACAAGAGAATCATGTTTTCTTAATCAATCAGTAGTTATATGAACTGTTGTCGGAAACGTGTTAGTTTAATGTCAAGAAGTGTGGTAGCAGGACGTATTACCGTTTGAAATGGTACGAGTTTAGTTATTATTTTTATTTTAATTTGATTAGATTTATGTTTACACGTTTTTTAAAGGTCTTTCATTTTATTCTGTACAGATCATTAATTAACTACAAAGATAACTTCCAAGAAAGTGGATGCTGGTAAGTAGTCAAAGAGAATCTAAATGAGAATAATCCATTGGAAAATCTTTCATGCAGCTTTGATAAAATTTAATTTATAGTGATTAAAACAGATATTTCTCTATAGATCTTATTTTGTTCAATAATTAATAATTTAATTATAAATAATTTTTGGAGAGATACTATTGGTTAGATTTGAATATGTTCTGCGCATTACGTTATTTGAATATTGCGCAGTTTTGTTTAACCAATAATAAAACTACGTTTTTTTATACATCAGCCAATCATATACGTTCTTGGTTGAATTCCCCTTCAAATTAGTTCGCAACTTTGTTGCACGGAGATTAGTCCATTATGTAAAATCGTGATGTTAAGATATCTCTTGTGTTGTGACATTTATTAACTGTGTAATATTCCTATATAGTTCGTACAACGCTATTATTAAACCTGTTTAATAGACATATGTTTTTAATTAATAATTTACCGAATATTATAATTCATAGTTAGATTCTCTCTTTTTTTTTTTTAATAATTATGTCATATTTATTGATAAGTCGTATTATGAATTTTCAAAATTGTATTTGATCTTGATTATTGTTACTTCGCCTCTTTTATGCATTTATTTGAAAATTTTGAGTTTTTTTTTGTGCAGATTACGAATTGTTCACGGAAGAAAGTTTGAAATATTAGAGAAATGCCATGATGATTAACGATCAATCTTCTTGTGGAAATACGGTAATATTTGATTTATTTTAATGAAAGTAGACATATTTGTATGTTCATTTTGTCATTTTGTTAAATAATTGACAACATTTATTTTTAACAAATAATTTTCGGAAAGGGACGCTAACAGTGCTGTCCCTCGAATGTGTTGTGCGCATTCCATTATTTGAATACTGCGCAGCTTCGTTTCAAATAAAAGTACGCCATATTTAATTTTCAAAGTACATTTGAATTTGTGCATATTCAGAGTGGTGTAATTTGAATGATATTTTTTTAACATAATATATCTTTATTTTTAATAAATAAATAATAATTAATTGCTAATTTTCATAAATAAACCCTTCTGAATAAAATTTTCTAAATAAACAGTGAGTGTTTACCTTGTGAGTGTTTCGATATTTTTAAAACAATAGCTTTCACTAAATAGGTTAGTGAACCTATGGCTATAGCCATCAAATGACTATTTGGTTGTAATAATCACACACAAAATTAGAGTTAATGTATTCGCTGATTATTGTTTAAACAGATATGTCAGTAATCTTTTATTTTTCTTTTATTGTATATATTTTTTTAAATAAAAATATAACTATTTTTCTATATTGTATTTTCTAAAGTTTTAATGTTGAAATAATATACAATAAATATACAATAAGTTTTAATTATTAAATTTTAATTGTTAAGCATGAATTTTGTGTATTTGTTTAGACCAGAGTTTTTTATTTTTTATTCGAAGTTATCATTTTGTGTGAAACGTGCGATTACAGCGCTCCAACGGTGAAATATGCAATACACTTCCTTTGATTCTCGAATATATCGATATTTCTCACGATCGATTTTTGAACGGGAAGAATGGCGGAAGGAAGCACACTTCGTCTCTAAAGAAGAAAGTATTATCCAGAAAGTCATCGAGAAAGAAGTGTTATCCAGAAGTTCTCAGGTAAAAGTTTAAATCAATAGTTGTTAGATTTGTGTTTGTGTTATAAATTTTTAAGATTAAACGTGCATTTTTGGCTTCAACTCAAAGTAAGATTTAACCAAATAATCATTACATATAATTTTCAACAATTAAAGAAATAGTAGCATATAAACATTTAAACAGAATATATCATGCTAAAAGTTATTTATAATTTTATACCAAGATTTAATTTTAATCAATGGAAATTGACTAACTAGTATATATATATATACTTTGTCTTGTACGCCTTTTTAATAGAATCTGAAATTGATTATCGTTTCACTTTTATATATTTGCCTTCATTTGAGACATTTGTTTTAACTTTTGGTTTGTTTTTGTGCAGGTTATTCTTTGGTTGCAAAGATAACATAGAATGCATAGACGTCACGATCATTAATGAACAATCTGATGAACTTTCACGGATAGTTGGTAACATTTTATTCATTCTAGTTAACAGAATCTAACATTTGCTATATAATACATATTTGAAATACAATTCACAAAATGTAATTTCGTAATTACAAATATTTCTGTCAATCAATTTCACAATCAATTTCTGTTTTTTCAATCAAATATTTCTGTAAATATTGAGAAATACTTTATAATTTTCAACTAATATCTTTAATGCATACTTAAGCTTATAATCATTTTTTAAAAAAAATTTTTTAAATGAACGTATTCTTTGCCCTTCCTCTTCTAATTAGTTTTATTTTCAGAAAATTTTTGTGATCGCGCGCAATGCGATCGGTAGAGTCAGTGTTTGTTGCGCAGTATTTTAATATTTTTCTGAGCAAAATGGCTTCTATTAAAATAAATTATCAATTCATTCAAATCATAATTCGCGAAATTAGAGTCAGTGAGTTCGCTGATTGTTACTAAAATGCGCGTTAACAGTCTTTTATTTTTCTTTTTTTGTATTTTTTCTTGTTCAATATTCGCTTTTGGTATTAGAGTCAGTGTTCAAGAGGATAAGGCCTCTCCAGGAGATCAATACTGTAAGTAGTTTTATACATTGTACTTTAAATCGTTCAATTTTTAACAATAATTTAACAATAAAGTATAATGTTTGACATTTTGTTATAGGCGCTTCACAGCATTAATTTTGTTGTGTTCTTTGGGGAAAATTCAACGGTGGCTCTAAAGCCAAGAATGTAAGAATCTTTCATTATCTCGAACTTAAAATTTTGCTTTGCTTTTAAATGCAAATTCTAATGTTTTATGTTTTGTTACAGATTCTCTACAGTCTCCAATTCCCCTTATCTTCTAAGAATCTTACGATGCTTCAAAAACTAAGAATGTAAGTACTTTAACACACTGTATTTGAATTAATTCTATTTTTTGCAGTTCTCTTTCTATTGAACTCTAATATAAAATTATAACTGTAATAATGTAAAATAAAAACATTTCAAATTATTAAAGTCTCAATTTTTATTATTATTAAAATTTTCACAAATAACATTGTGCCTTTATGCTTTTCAAGAAATTTTTCACGGCATTCAATGAGATTTGCTTGATGAGGATCTTCACGACGACTTTCCTTGGTCCAGTGCAGATGATATCGTTCTTCACTGTGAGTCGCATGCATTTTTGTTCCTCTGGTCACTCAATCATGTCGTAGGATGAAAGGTCCTAATCGGCACGGGTGACTGGTTGTATACGTAGAATTTTTGATGAGCATAGTGACCGCGGATATGTTTTATATCCGTGAGTAGTAACATTTTTTTAAGTTTTTTATGTATTAGATCAGGATAGGGCTTCTTGCACATCGCGATTTTAACAATTAGTTTGAAGTTTTATTTATAGTAATTACTTGTAAAATCAAAATATATTCAGTATATATATTTGCAAAAAGAAAATCCATATGAATATCCATATGAATAAATAAATATGAATAAATATGAATAAATAAATTATAAATAATTATTATCAAAATGATTTCATTTGAGCATTTCGTACTAGAGAAGACGGATACCCTCCGACTTCGTTGCTATGAAAAATGCAGTTATTACTTATTGATATACTGTAATATATCTTGTTACAATAATTAATAATTTGCAACTTTATTTTCCCTTTTATAGTAGTATTAAATGATTTAATTGATTGAATTTTATAATTATGAACTTCAATACATTTGAAATATATAACAGATTAGAATTCTTTTCGTAGAAAAGTATATAAAATTTTATGTGCAAGGAGATACTTCGCGACAGGCAGATTTTTGAATCAAAGTAACAAGTTTGAACATTGCTTTCGCATTTTCGAAAATGTGCTTTGATGAAGAAATCGCCTGAGATTTCTTATTATTCTTATGTAGAGTCAATTATTTGATGTTGATTATTTGAATCAATTATTAGATAGATTGTCCATAATATCCTTTTTGACAAATTAAAGACTTGTTCATTGTCTTTATTCTTTTGCAATTTCAATAATTTTTGAAAGAGTAGAGTCATTATAGTTTGAAATAAAATGATACAGTAGTCCGTTAGATACAAATTACATAAACTAATCATTTTTTTTAGTTCAGGATTTTCAGGTTTAACCCCTTCCGTGTTCATTGTCAGGATCTCACTCACGTGCCTAAGTGTTACTTGGGTGGGTGAAAGACATTGAGCACGATGACCATAGTCTGTAATTTTATAAAAAATGTCTCAGCGACTGACAGTAGGTTAGCGTATCGTGCACGACGTATTTTCCTCATGTGTGTGTGTGTGGTTAGGATGTGGAATTGCGTCGTTTTTATTGTTCCATTATAAGTTGAAATATATAAAATATTTATGCACTGATTTGAAGTATGAATTTATTGTATAATAATACTCATTAAATACACTATAATTATATTATTAATTATACGATCAGTTATAATAATGATTCCAAGTCAACTTGTTACAATTTCTATAGAAATTATATGTATTTTTTCTCGGTTATTAATATTTCACATATAGTTGTAAATATAAACGTGTTTTAATCGCGTTTTACGCAATGGTCGCTAGTCACTGTCAGTCGATTTCAGGAAAATGGTACGTAAATTAGAGTGTGAATGTTGTGTGTTAAGCTCGGGTGTCGGAGGCGTCCCGGGACGTCCTCTCTAGTTTAGGTCTCTGCGCCCGAGTAGTATGTGTGAGAACCGTGGAATGAATGTGTTGGTGTGCCTGTTTTGCCATTTTTTAAATATAGGGCCCCTGGATAGGATAGGTAGCTTACTTTCTGGTATGCCTGTGTTTAATTATAAGTAGGTAGGGCCGGGCAGGTTGGCACAGTCTCTGGTCGCGTNAACCTGTTTCAGGAAATCTAATTTGAAAAATCGACAGTGAAATTGGTACAAATGGAGCATGCCACTTGTTTCTGGTTTTACCCTTCGATTTTTCGAATTTAGTATCGCGGTCGCGGTCGCGGATAGGTCGCGAGTAGGTCCCGAAACGAACGTTTATATAGGTATTGCTCGAGCACGCACATGCGAACGGACAATGATCATTATGATCGATGGTCGTCCATGTGTATGGGGGTCAGTTTCCGCGGTTTATTTTTTTATTTCACCTTTGTAAGTTATTTTTTGGTTTGCGATTAGAAAGACTCAAGCTGGATGTAAGTTTCAGCGGGCATTGCGCTCGAAGAAAGAAAAGGCTAAAAGCTGAAGAGGCCCGGCAAACTGCCACGAAGAGGGTCACAACAAATGGTTTCTCATCCTCTGGATTTAAATGATTCTAGAGCATGGGGGGTCATTCTCGTTACTACTTTGTCACTATGCTCTTTTAGTATTTGTAGTTGTATTTTTTTTTCTTTTTCATTATTGTTCATCATCGTTTTGGGCAAAACGGTTTTTCTTTTTAGCGTTGCGAAATATTGATTACGGGTTGAATTAGAGTTGCGAAGAAACGATAATCGTGTTTGCTTTAGGGTTATGAATTGTAATATCGCGATTATTTTTTGCAATTTTGATTGTTAATTTTCATTGTCTCAGTGTTGTATAAATTTATCTTGCTTTCTGTTGTTTTAAATCATGTTATAGAATTATTGTTTTTAATTAATTTTAGAATGCTAGAATATCCAAAGTAGTTTTTTCTTCGTAGCTTTTGTATTGTTAATAATAATTTTCATTGAATTTGGTTTTAGAGTTAGTGTTGCGATATTATTTCACCGGAATTTTTAATTACTTTTACTCTTAGTGTTGCGACAATGAATGATCGCGTTTCTTGAAATAGCGTTGCGTTTACAAAATGCCCAAATTCTTCCACTGGATTTGTGAAAGGCTTTTCTTGTTCCTAGATCATCTGATGCAGCTATAAGAGGTGGTCATTCATCAGCAACCTCCAGTATGGTTGCGCTGGACGTAATTAGTGTTGCGTATTTCTAAATATGAGTGTATAGATTAATAGCGTTGCGTACTTACTTTTGAGAGTTTTAAATATGACGAAGCACTCTTCGCGTTTGATTTTGAAAATTTTACAATTAATGCTAGTGAATTAGTGTTGCGAAACAAGATACGGTTTGTTGCTCGGATTTACGTGGATTGTAGATTTGACAATAGCCTTTCTGGTTATTGTATTGAGTAGGAAATGTTCTTTTAGTAGCCCTTCTGGCTACTGTATCGTTTTTTTTTTTAATGGCTTTTCTAGCTATTGTTTTAGATTTTCTTTATCAGTAGCCCTTCTGGTTACTGTGTTCAGCATTCTTTTTTAACATTTATTAAATTTATTTTCAGCACTGTGTTTATTACTGAAAATACTGCTAAAAATATATATTTAATTTATATTAAATTTTATTTTAAATTTAATATATTCACATGTATGAAAGTGTAACTGATTTCCAGTGTCATATATAAAATGAAGTAAGAAAAGTATTGCAGCAATTAAATATTTAAATATTTAAATATATAATGAAAATTTGAAACTCTTTTATAAAATAATTAAATCGATAGTACTTTGTAGAATGTTAGCTTATTTTGAAATATGAATTAGTATCCAATTTATTGTTACTGCAGCCAATAATAATGATTGTTCGTTATCAGAGTTATTTTCTTATCATTTATTTTCTCTATTCTAAATATTTCAACAATAGAATAGAATTTTACTTATACTTGAATTTCGTATATGTAAATCCATTCTTGGTTTATTTATATCACAGACAAGGTATATGCCTCTATTCATATATCTTGTCTATGATTTATATGCCTCGTCTGTGTTTCTATCTACTGTTAATGTGACATTCTTATTTATCTTAAATCGATAAAGTCGCATGTGTTACGAACATGAAATGAGATAATTACAATTTCTGAAATTGTATAGCTTGATTGAGATATACCATATTTTATTTTTGTATATTCGTACATTTAAGTTGTAGGGGGCATAATCTTGTCGAACAATTGATATTTTAAAACATGTGAAAACTCTATAACCTACATTTAAAACCCTATAAAATGCTAGGTCTATTTCTTTTGTGGTAATACTCGATGGATAGTTACTTTTTGTGGATTGGTATCTCATATTATTATCATGGGCACATATAGAAATTATATGAAATTATTAGAATCTTGGCCCCTAGATAATTCAAAACCTGGCAGGTAATTTTATTAAATAAGTCAGATTTTTTTTAAATTCTTATATTTTTGTTATAAATACATATTTTTAACTTCTCTGTTAATACATCTTTCACGTTGCTTTAATTTACAATGAGGTTAGATTTAATATTTTGAAAGTTGTTAATAACTTTAGCATTATGTACAATTAATTATATAGTTTATAGTATTAGAATGCATCATTGATTTTACAATATTTGATTATTACAATAATTGTTATATAATACAATTTCATAATTTTTAGAGACTTAGCTCAACATATTCGTGATCAATTAAAACTTGCTTTTGCAAAGGGTGAAGCTAGTGAAGTAAACCGTGAACAATGTGATCGTTATTATATGATTTTAAAAAAAATTTCTACCAATCATTATGGGCAGATGTATAATCGTACGCTTTCAAGCACTGCTACTGGATTAACAAAAGATCAGTGTAATTTAATGCTTACCCCAGAAGCATTAGAATATTATTCAGAAGAAAGAAGAAACGTTTTTACGAATACATTTTTAAGATTATTTAAAAATGTTGTTAAAAAATAAGTTGATAAATAATATAATTCATGTACATAAATATTATAGTACGAAATATTTTAATAAAAATGTACATTATTTATTTTGGAGACAAAGTGACACAACAGATTTAGAAAATAGTAGAAGATATAGCGAAATAGCAAACAAAACTGATCATGATATTGACAATGTATCTCATATACCAGTTATGGTTAATGAAGTATTACATTATTTGGAGCCATCTCCAGGAAAAGTTTTTGTGGATATGACATTTGGGGCTGGTGGACATTCTAAAAGAATCTTGGAATCTTCATCTGACGTCAAAATATTTGCCTTGGATAGAGATCCTATTGCACACCAGCATGCACAAATTTTGTCAGAGAAATATCCTGGACAAGTAATACCTTTACTGGGTAGATTTTCTGAATTGCCACAGCTGCTTTGTAAATATAAAGTAAATGTAAATAGTATAGATGGCTTCTTGTTTGATTTTGGTTGTTCATCCATGCAATTTGATGTTGCTGAAAGAGGATTTTCTGTGTCAAAAAATGGTCCTTTAGATATGAGAATGGATGGTTTTAGATGTCCACAAGAACCTACAGCTGCTGAAGTTCTAGAGCAAGTAACAGAACATGACTTGGCTAAAATTTTAAAAATTTATGGTAATGAAAAGAAAGCTAAAAAAATTGCACGTGCCATTATAGAAGCTCGCTATACTTTTAGGAATCTAAAAACTACGCAAGAATTAGCTCAACTTATTGATTCTGTAGTTTCTGAAAAGAGAGTTGATCAACTTGGTAGACATGCTCATTGTGCAACAAAAACATTTCAAGCACTAAGAATTTTCGTAAATAATGAATTAAATGAGATTAACTATGGTATTGTTATGGCTGGAATATATCTAAAACTAAATGGTCGTTTAATAACTATATCTTTTCATTCTCTGGAAGACACAATTGTTAAAAGACACATGACAGCAAATATAACAGAAACTGTATCTAATATAAAATCATTAAAATATTCAGATTATGGCAAATATTACAGTTCATATGAAATGGAAGCTTTCAACCGTACACTTTGGAAAATGTTGCATAAACATGTAATAATACCTACACCAGAAGAAATAGATAAAAATCCACGTTCGCATTCTGCAAAATTTCGAGCTATTGGTAAAATAATTTAAATCATTAGACTTTAGAGTTGAGATTTTGAATATAAATAAATATTTCCATTTTTACTATTTTTTCCAATACAAAAGAATATTTATTGTATCTCTAAAATATAGATACATTGTAATATACATGTAAAAAAAAAGAAAAATAAAAAAAATAAAAAATTACAACTCATCAAAAATATTGTAATGATTAATACAATGTTTACTTATGTGAAAATATATTAGGAGAACATTTATAACATTAGAGACATAACATACTTAAAACAAGCCTTCTATTTCGTCTGTCTCATTATTCCAATCCATGTCATAAATGCTTGGTCTTGTAGAAAGACCTGGCATCATCATTATCTAAAAACACAATATTATGTAACAAATTATGTTGTAATATTCAAATATTTGAAATACTTACCTCTCCTACCATAGGTACTATAAAGCCTGCTCCTACTGATACAAATATATCAGTAATTTTAAGCGTGAAACCTGTAGGTGCACCTTTAATTGATGGATCACCTGTTAGGGAGTTTGATGTTTTTGCCATACAAAGTGGTAGTTTATCATAGCCTAATTGAGTGTACTTTTTGATTTTCTCTTGGACCTGTATTCGTAATTATTAATTGTACATATAATTGTATAGATTCTATATGAAACAACAATATTCTGAGTCAAACTATTGAGAGTTTACCTTGTCTGTAAGTACAACTTCTCCAGCTCCATACATTTCTTTGGCAATGGTATTTATTTTTTCTTCGATACCGATATTAAGATCGTACAATAATCTGAAATTATTAATTTTATTTGTAGCAGCTATGACTGCATCAGCAAGTTCTATGGCGCCAGCACCACCCTCCGCCCAATGATTACATATAACTGCATCAGTCGCACCACTTTCTATTGCTGCTTGTTTCAATAATTCTAATTCAGCTTGGGTATCAGTGCTAAAATAAAATTTAATGATTTTGCATTTAACACACAGAAGTATTTGTAAAGAAAATTATTTTTCTATGTAAAATTTACCCGTATGCGTTAATGGCAACAATAACTGGTATGCCAAACTTCGTTCCATTACTAATGTGTTTCTGAAGATTTGGAATACCTTTTCTAACTAAATCGAGATTCTCTTCGAGATATTCTTTCTTCAATGGTGCACCAGTTGTTACTGGTGGTCCTCCACCATGCATCTTCAATGCTCTAACAGTTGCAACGAGTACAACAGCGTTTGGCACATGGCCAGATGTTCGACATTTAATGTTAAAGAATTTTTCCATGCCGATATCAGAACCGAATCCAGCTTCGGTTACTACGATACCTTCTGGTCCAACTAATTTTAATGCAATAGTGTCTGCTATAATCGAAGAACAACCATGTGCAATATTTGCAAATGGTCCAGCATGAATCATTACAGGTGTTCCTTCCATTGATTGCATCAATGTTGGTTCAATAGCGTCTTTCAATAAAATTGCCATTGCTCCGGTCATACCCTAAATTAGTATGTTTAGCTTGTTATCGAATAATAGAATCCAACAAATATTTGCAATTTCATAATTAACAAATATACTAACGAAGTCTTCGGCAGTTAAGGGTTCACCATTTTTGTTAAAAGCAACTACTATGTTGCCGAGTCTTCGCTTCATATCGTCGACATTAGTTGACAGTGCAAGTATTGCCATTATTTCCGAACCAACAGAAATACGAAATGATGTTTCTAGCGTTTTACCTTTCTCAGTTGAACTTTGACCAATGGTAATTTTTCGCAAATATCGATCGTTTATATCGACCACTGAGTTAAATACATTTCATTTGTAAAAAATTTTTCTTTTAAAAATTTTCAAAATTATATGATAAATATTCCATATTACCTCGAGTCCAAGTAATGTTTTCTGGATCAATATCTAATCTTGCGAATCTGCTTCTTTCTTCTTCCGTTAAACTATTTGGATCGGTTTTTGCGATGCCCAATTTTTCTAAACGTCTCAATTGTATTTTCGAAAATTTTCTCTCATTTTTGATGGTTGGTACAAGACGATTGTAAAGAGCCTCATCATTTTGAGTACATTCGTGAAAATACCGAGTATCAATTTGTGCTGCTAACAGATTATTGGCTGCGCTTACGGCATGAATATCACCGGTCAAATGCAAATTAAATTCTTCCATAGGAATAACCTGAAAAAATTCTTTTTTTTCCAATGACTGATTCGTACGACTGTTAATTATTATTATTCTAACATTTATATGTTTTTACGTTGGCAAAAAATATGTAAATTACTCTATTCACATCTTTTAATAATCGTGTTTGTAATTTATTTCTTGAGGTTCTAATGATAAATAATACCTGCGAATATCCTCCACCAGCAGCTCCACCTTTAACTCCGAAAATAGGTCCTTGACTAGGTTGCCTCAAAGTTGCGAATGAATTTTTTCCTATATGCGCTGTTAACGCTTGCACCAAACCTAATGTTGTTGTACTTTTTCCTTCACCGAATGGAGTTGGCGTGATACCAGCAACTACTACGAGTTTTCCATTTGGTTGATCTTTTAATCGTTTTAGAACGTTTAAGTTGATTTTTGCTTTTTTACTTCCGTAAGGATTAATTTCATTAGGCAGCAAACCAATTTCTTCGGCTAAACTCGTGACCAGTTTGGATTCTTGACTCCTTGAGAGTGTTATGTCGTTAGCTACCGGTTTCTGAGGATTGATCTTCAAAACTCTCAAGTTCCACTTTGGGTTTAACAATTTTTCTGCTGCCTTTTGTGCGGATATTACCGTGCTCTTCATTAACATAGCTACGGTCATCGGACCAACACCTCCAGGTACAGGCGTGATATATGAAGCTACTCTTACAGCTTCAGAATATTCTACATCACCGACCAAACGTTGTCCATTTTTCTTTGTTGGATCTGAAAGAATTTTTCAAATCATTATCCTATAAATAAATTTAAGGATTGATTTAATATCTATTAATATCTGCAAATAATGAACAAATACTTTCTATAAACATCGATGGCGAATAGCATGAAAGTTTTATTTATTCAGGAAATAAAACGACTAAAAAAACGACTTAGGAACATCAAATAATGTAATAATTGTCGTAAGTTTAGCATTTAGCATGGTAATGCATAATTTTAAGTTTAATAATGTCAGAGAATACGATACGTGAAATTATATATACCTGGAATGGAATTGATTCCGCAATCGATTACGACTGCGCCCGGTTTAATCCAGCTTCCTTTAACCATCTGGGGTTGACCAATACCAACCACTAAGATGTCAGCTTGTGAGACCTTTAATCACAATCAAGTATTCGATATTAAATATAGTTATATTTTTTTAGCTCGGGTGTTTCGCGATACAATAAGAGAGGGAATATATTTTAATTTAACGAAGATACAGTACTTACAATTTGTGGAAGATTTCGCGTTTTTGAATGACATACTGTTACAGTCGCGTTATGCCATTTTAATAGTTCAGACACAGGTGTACCGACGATTTTACTTCTACCTAAAACTACAGCTTGAGCACCAGCGATCGGTACGCCACTCCTGGAGGACATTATTTCAATTAATATGCAATACATATTATTTATCTGTTATTATATATAATTATTTGAAATATTTTATTGTTATTTTACTAATTAATATTTATTCTTTTTAAAAAGTTTTTAATGTCTCTGTTTTAAAGTCTAAATTCTCGCGAGTAAAAAGCGCAACAAAATCTATGTTATTTGAACAGAGCAAAATTATTTTCAACATACTTTTTAATAAGTTCAATGCATCCATTTGGAGTACATGGTAAAAATCCCGTCATATCACCAACAGCTACTTTTCCTTCGTTGATTGTGTTTAATCTAAAAGAGGATAGAATTATTTATTTCTAGATTTTCTGTTTTGCAAATAGAAAGAATTATTCGTTATTTTTGATCGTGGATAAGAATTAATATTTCTTAATAATGCGTTGTGACATTTCGCAATGAAATTAATAAAAAAAAAAAAATCGTTATCGAGTTTGCAAATATTCAAACGATTACACTCTTATCATTTAATTCGAGATGTTTTACGTAATAGGTCACAGTAATGACGTTCTTTTGTATACATTACTTTCTTCTTTAAAAGCTTTTTTCGTAATTTCCTTATCTAATAACAAGCTTCTAGAAATTGATTAGTTTATACATGTGTGAAATATGTTTAAGACTAGTTACATGAAATTTTCGAAATTAAAATTAAAAGATATTAAGAGATAACAAAGACTTACCCATCTACATCCTTTTCGGGTGATACTAAATCGGTAACCAAATGAGAATCAATTTTATTAATACTATCAAGCGGCATTTGTACAATGATTCCGTGTATGGTTGGATCATTGTTCAATTTGTTTAGTTTGTTTATCAATTCTACTTCTGTGATGGCATTTGACAATTTGACATGATCTACGAGAATTCCAATCTCAGTTGCCGCTTTTATTTTCATTCTTATATAAACATTTGAATCTTCTCGGTTCCCTACTTGAACGATCGCTAAACCAGGTACATAATTTGGTAATTTTTCATTCAATGTTTTCACATCTTTACATAGTTTGTCGCGAATTTCCCTAAGAAAGCGAAAGATCACAATATTAATATAGCATTTTCGACATTAAATTATCAAATATATAAAATTTACGAAGGATAATGTATTAAATTGGTTAATAATAATCGGAAGCATCTCTTTCGTATATTTAAATTTGGCGGGTTTTAATGCGCACGTGTGTACCCATGTTTTTCAAAGAATAATATACAATTAATCGTTTTAGTAAACATTGAAGATTTGTTTTCTAGAATTATTTGTGTTACATTCTCTTACGATTATATAATCAGAGTATACATAACCTCACACAGAAAAAGAGGCATGCTTCTGTAAAGCGTATAATATAATTATTAAGAATTTATTTAAGTATTAAATTTCAAAAGATAGGAACGTCAAGTGTAATGAACACTATCGACTTCTATACAACTTTCAACAATTGAAAAATTAAATTGAATCGTTATTTGTATTTGGATAGTTTTCATTTTAAAATTTATTCCACATGGAAGATCAGAAATCGACAAATTATTTCAAAGATCTGTTCTGAAAGATTTAATATATTTCTATACTTTGAATAGTTATATGTAGCCATTTTTATAGTTTAAAATAATACGACTTACTTTGCCAATTCTGTACCAGATAACACAACTCCTCGTACATCCGTCGACATAATTCTATAAAAAGATCTACAATCACAAGAGAAATTACTGAATTATCTTTAACGATTGTACACTGCGTAAATTAGGATCTAAAGGAAATTAAAATATAAATTGATACGATCAACACCGATTTACTGCAAGACCGATACTGGTCGAATGAATGAGCCGACCGGTTTACAAGCAATTCAACTCGTGATGTGTGTATATGTCTTTGTAGTGATGGCCTTATGTGAGCTGTTCACACAATGAAGCGTTTATCGGGCATTTGAATTCTCATATTCATTCGATATTTAAACATAAACCAAATAAAATACCGCTTCGTATGATTGTTTTTTTTTTTAATTATTTAATTATTATTCAATTTAGTAATTTTTTGAAATACTTTCATTCAATTAAGAAACATTTATAACACGAATTATATGTATTTTTTAAGTATACTATATGAGTTTTCCGCGATATCTTCGCTTCTATTTTTTACATTTTTTTCCCATTAATATATTCGTGTTTTCATTCTGTTAGAGCAAGTGTGTTATAATATGTGAATGAATTAAAAAGAGTATAACAAGAAATATTGGTCTTACCTGAAAGTTTGCGGTATTCGTGTCATATCATAAAGATGATTCGGTGGGAACTAATGATTCATTAATAAAGATGATCTCCATGGGGGGCAAGAGAATGTTGAAATGATAACTGATAAACTTTGACATCTCTATTTAAGATACACGCATGAAGAAAATATTATGTTTACGGGACATATAGCATTTATAAGTAAAATAATCTCTTTCCAAATTATTTTATGTTCGTATAATAATTCAGTAATAATTTAAACAACAATTTTAACTGATTTATAACGTGAAATACGAATAAGAATATTCTCTTTATCTATTGTGCTTGCACAAAAACGAATCTAAATATACATATTTACATTCGTTTCTAGTAAATAGTTGAAAGATGATTGACTTGATTTTTCAAATCTTATCAAGACAAGTCTTATAGACGTCAAAACTTTGCAATCAATTCTCATACTTTGTTGCTGAAAACGATTAATATTCTAGCTAAATGAGATATAACTGACATTTTAATATTTTTGATATACACAAAAGCTCGAGATTTTCAAATTCTGATAATGTCTTGAAAATCCATATATAATGCAATTAACAAATTTTGAAACTGGACTAATCGGAACGTACTTATAATATTTATAATCAATGAATTGTGGTTTTTATTTTAATTTTAATTTTAAATGCGAACAATTTTTCGAATCGTCACTTTGCCAAAAATGAAAAAATTTGATAATTAAAAAAATTAAATCACGTGAAAAGAAGTTGTGTCTTTGCAGAAAAAAGTAATTCGTTTTACTGATCGGAACAATTATTTTTTATTTTATATTTGACTTTGAGTTTAGTCATTTTTAAATAGTACACAGTTAATATATATATTTATGTTCAATTAGGGAAATTCAGGAAGGTTCAAACTTATTTATATCGAGCATTGAGAACAGTATAAATTACAGTACTGGAACTTTGTAGAGAATCATGCAAAAACAGCTTGCTTCCCTCATTCCCTTCCATGTTTCAAAACCCACGAGTCGATAAACTCATCTAATTTACTGTGGACGTTCTCCAAGCTAAGCAAAAACCGAATTTAAGCTTCTTGAAGCTTTATGACGATTAATTTCACTGTCGCAACGTTGAAACAGTTAATCTATGAGCATCTTTCGGGGAATTGAGATAAGATTCATGTAATCATTTCTAATCTGAATAGATTTAATAAGAATCACATTCAGTTTTTCTTTTTGAAATATTAAAACAATTTGTCATTTAAAATTGATCTGTAAAATGATTTTTATTTTTCATTAAATAGTTGTATTAGGAAAACAATAAAATTTATTTTGCGTCGAGTATCATCGTTCCGTGCGTATTATATTTTCAATGGACACTTAAATTTGATTTTTGTAAAATATTGTAAAAAAAAATTGTTGCGTCGTACTTGAATTAATTCTTTGAGAGCTTTGAATATAAAAATTTTAACTATTTTAGTTCAGTTTAGTTTTAATTTTCAATCTTCTTTCATAAAATGTTTAGCTAAATTAGCTACGGTATATTATATTATAAATTATTTTATAAATATTTCTAAAAGTTCTTCATCCATATTAATTTTCTTAAATATTTTTTAGATATTTACAGAAATAATTACAGGCCAAATAAAAGAGCATGTAATACATAACGGTTTCAGACAATTTAACAATATAATAGAATAAGTAATAGTGTTTAACTAAAATTGATCGTTTTAAATTTACACATTGTCACTTGACGACAACATTGAAAGTTGTTTAGATAGATGATTTGATTTTTTAAAGCTAGAATTGACATAACTAATCAAATCAGATGAAACGATCAATAATTAACAGATCATAGTTTGATGTGATGAAAAAAATCTTCAGATAATTTATAATCTATTTTAGTTAATTAAATCATAGTTGAAAAGTAGAATTTCAATGGAAAGATCATTATTTGACGAATGATCGAAAGCTCGTTAAAACACATCTAATGGCGCTTGTTAGTGATTAAGTTCCTTAATCAGTGTCTCGATAATCTGAAAAGACTTTACGTCCGCTTGAAACGGCTCAATGAAATTAAGCATAGCATGTTCTACGTCCTTTATCCGGTCTTCTCGTTGATTGGGGGATCTGCAATGTCGTTAGGCCGTGGTTTTCAACCGTTCTGCCGTTTCGCCGTTCGAGGTCGAAGCAAGCGGCGAAGATTAGTAAGATTAACCAAGATCCTCCTTCTGCGTGGCTTTCCGCGTTTTCAGAAGGGCGGAAGTCCGACAAAGGATCGCGTTTCGTGGCTACGTCTCTGATGCTTCAGATTCCCCCCGTGTTCGGGACAAACCGATCCTGGTCCACATCTCTATCTTTATTTCTCTCATAGTGAGTTTAATCCTTAATTAGTATCGTTCGTTCACAGATGATTACGGTAATTTAGTTAGATCAGTAAAACACTTGAAATATTTGATTTTATTTTGTATTCTCCATGATAGAGATTCGTAATGAAATACAATTGAATTAAAAATTCTAAAACTAAGTAATTCCCAAATTACTATTATAAAAAAGCCAATTATGTTGTTCCTAAGGATAAAAATTTGGCTAATACGATACGATGACGTTGTAATTTTTTAACCCTATACTACTTGCATCATTGTTAAGAAGTACATGGATACTTATTTTTAATAGAGTGTAACTTACAATAAAATTCGAAATTAGAAAGTACTAGGACGATTTTATCCTCCATCAGAGCTGTCGTAAGAATTTCTGTTAGGACGTCAGCAGAAACTACAAGATACGTAGTTCAGTTAATCGACAATATTTCATGGAACTTAGACGCACGTAAACGGTCGGATCGCTAACTGTTTAAGTACACTTTCAAGGCAATTCCCGAAGGACGCTCGCGCAAGTCTCAAATCTCGCGGGTCTTCGTAGCTTAAAGTTAATTAATATTTGACCGACGGTAGCAAGGTCGAAGATCACGTGGAAATTGGCGGTCTCCGTGAAATTACTGGATCGATGTAGCAATCGGCATCCATAATTTCACGACGATGTGAGATCCTCCGTTTAAATGCTCCTCCTACGTGAAACTATTTACCATCTTCGTGTCGTCGTGTGCGATTTACTTATCGAGTTAGCTTCTCTCCTTCTTTCACATGTCGATTTCCTCTCTGATATAACTCTGCAACTCAATCTTCGTTCGCAAGATTTGCTTAGGGCGATCTTTAGGGCAAAATCAATATTACTCTAACTTCTATTTGACTTTCGTGTTGTAGAAATTGTTTGGTCATTTTGATATTATTGACGAAGTAATCTCTTTTTATTAACGTTGCTCGACATTATCCAATAACATGTCAGTTACTGTTCTGTTCGTTCAGTTTGTTGTCATTGCTTTTCTTGAAAGTTCGAAGTTGATTTTTTGGCAGGAAGTGGTTGGAGACATTTGTAAAATTTGTACAACAGGTTCGGACAGTCCGGTTTCACCGGAATAGAAACCGGAATTGAATGGTATATTATATCGAAGAATATAATCTAAGGTGAACGTTAGAAAGTTTTTTTTGTATTTCTATTGATTACTATTTTAGATGAATAAAGCAACGACTTTCGTAAGAAGCATTATGAATAGAAAAATATGATACGAACGTAAGCCTGTAAATCGACTTCAAGGTTCATGTATCTTATGTTTCAGGATTATTAAACTAGTATTTTCTTATTCGTATCCCAATAAAAAGAAAAGATTATAACATATAAAATACAAGATATAAAAATTATTTTTTATATTAATCTTTGATTACCATAAAAATATAGAATAATTCAGTAACAATAATTTTTTTCCTATTTTTGTAAAGAAAATATAATACACTAAAACTAGGTCCAGTTTTAACGAAAACAAATACGGTCATTTGTCGTTTAATTAGATACTAAAGTTACGGTATGCAGTAGAAATTAATTGGTTTATGTATTCTATTTTTTTTATTATATAAACGAAAAATTATAGGTAGCGAAAAGAATCAGTTCAAACTTTTATTATGCGAACTCTGATTGTACAACCTCGTGTAAATAAAGTCCCACCACAGTTAATTTCCCTTTTGTTTTACAACCAACATTCAAATTACAAATATCGATACTAACCTTCTTTCATCCCTCTATCTTCTCATAGATCCTCCAAACACTCTCCGAAATACCTAGACCGATTTTCGTTTCACTTTCCATCTCTCGACCGGTTATTCCTATCCTCCGCATCTTTCGTTCCTTCTACCGACACTAATGCTATTCGAATCGGTACCGGTTGAGCGTTCCGTGTTCGAGCGAAGGGTGCCGCTTGATGGTAGAAGAGGGGGGTGGGTTTGTAGCTCCGTCGTGGAATAGGTACGTACAGATTCCAACTTCTGCGGATAGTTAAGCTTAAGGGTTCTACGGAGAAACTAGCCTTGGGGTGACTGGGGCCACGGATGATCAGGGCTGAAGTAAACTGGCGCGGAGGGGCGATAGCGGGGAGAGGGAGGGAGAGCGAGGCTGAAGGAAAGGGGCTGGATTGGGTGTTATAGGGTGGAAGATTTCTCCATCTCGGATAGCAAAGCAACTTGGACCGCAAATTCCTTTACGTGGTTCAGCGTGGAGTGCATCCGCTGCTGCAGAAATCAAGGAACGAACTCGATTTCGTTAATAGGTCGCGTTTAACTTGTGCATTTTATTCGCCGGATAGAGCGGAGGGGCTTTTAGCTTGTTTCTCGGACAGACTCTTGTCGTGGTTCCGTATAATTGGATAAGGAGTGAGAGACGATAAATTTTTTTCAATCTCTTTCAATGGGTCCCAGCTTCGTCTCGCGACGATAAGAGTCGCGTTACTTTTCTGTTTTTATTCTTGTTTGTCGTTGTTATCTACGTCCGTCTAGTTTACGACTGGGAAAATGAATATAAATTAATTCGTGATTTATTCATATTTCCCAAGTAACGAAAGTTTCCACTTTATGAATGCTTCTTGAGAGAAAAGATAAAAAGGTAGGAAAGATGTAAGAATCATAGAACTATGTTAAAATATACACCACTGATCAAAGTTTAGAATTATTATAGAATAATATCAATAAAAGATATCGGTTTAAAATCTCTAAGCTTAGAATACTTTTTAGTAAAAAATCTAT